CCCCCCTCCCCTCCCGTCGCGCTCGTAAGCGTGGTTCGACTCGAGAGAGGAAGGTTTAGTTAACCCACGGTGACGTGTTTATGTGGAAATGCGGCGGGAATCGGAGGCGTCGGGTTCTTATTCCCGATAGGGATCGGTCCTCGGGGACTCGCCGGCAGGCTCTCGGCTGCTCTTCACGATTTCTTCATTCTTGAGACTTTCTTACGGACTTTTACTTTCTTCTTCTTCTTCTTCTTCTCCGTTTTTATGGAAGCTCACGTCCTCGCGACAGGTCCTCGTTTTTCCGCGATTCCCGAAGCGGTGACTCTCGCAATTCCCACGCTTTGCGAGCGTTCTCAGAGCCGGAGGTCGTTTCACAGATTCCCACGTGCGTTCTTCCTTCTTCCGTTCCATGGATTTTGCTCGGACGATCTCGAGGTTCGCTGGTTCTACGGATTTTCCGATTCGATCGGGGCTTCTCTTGGATATCTTCGGTGTGACGTATCTTTCGATTCTTTTTGTTTTTTTTTCTGGTCGATGATACTCCCTGATTCATAAGCTCCTTTTAGGAATGATCTCAGCCTCGTGCGTGATCGCCTGATTTACGAACATATCCTCACGTAGCAACCGTACACATTCGTCCAGTACTGGAGACTGGTGAGACACCGATTCAGTATTGAAATACGGATTTCACGTTACGATATTAATGATATTAATGTCTTAAATAAGAGAACGGGAGATGTCACTAACGCGGAGCCTAAATAACTCAGTGGTAACCCTTAGAGAAAAATATTACTGGGAGGGATGTGAAAAATTTAACCCGAAAATTTTAACAAGCACCGATTCTAATACAAGTACGAAATGTTTTTTTTAAATGTGTGTTCATCAAAATCCGGCACCTCGCCAACGGTTATTTCCTACTTGGGTCACTTCGCGAATCTCTCGTCAACGAACGACCAGGAGATGCGAGTCTTATATATGTGATAGAATAGAAAATATAAATACATTTTATTTTTATTAGAGTGTTACATTAATTGTTAAACAATAAGATAATAGCAAATACTTGTGTCCCGATTTGACGATTATAAAAAACAAATAAAAATATCTTTCGCGTACCGCGCTTATACAATAGAATCCTCCGACGCTAATTTATTTACATATCTTTTTACAATCCTACCGCGATGCCTTGCGCGCTGCTTTTGATATATCTGATGTGTTCGAGCGTTATATATATTCTCACCTTTCCCGAAACTGAATTGCATGCGTGTACACGAGTCAATATATATGTATGAGCAACAAAATTTCATCGTTCCCCGTTCGATATGTCCTCGCGGCCTCTCGTCAACGTCTCCGCACGAGCAGATCCATCCACTTTACGATGAGGTAATAGAGCCACGCGTGTTAGCACCGGATGGCTGCGTATGATTGATTGAGATGATGTGCGATCGCCCCTCATTAAAATCATGCAATCTTTTAGTCCCCGTTGCTTCGTCGCGATTAGAAATCGAATGGAAACGCCATCATATACTTGATGGTAGCGATATTCAATAATTGTCGACACGTCGTATTGTATACAACCCATTTTTTCATATAAGTACTATTCTACCTTTTTATATATAAAATGGTACATTTTAGTAGTAGTAGTTCAGTAGTATACTTTGGATAACAGTAAATCTTCCGTAAAACTTAACACTAAAGATTCAACTTGATCAACTTAGCGTCTAAATTTAGCGGGTAATTACATCTAAAACGACGTTCACGTCTCGGAGAGGGACCGTTTCGTCGCAATAACGAATGGTCACGCATTGGCGCACACTTTACGATATCCTACGTCCTGCACTGAGAGGAATTCGTGTTTATATTTTTGGTCTCTTGATTGTTATATATTAACAAATAATATTTACAGAGCCGATACAGTTAACGAAGTCAGTTTCGTCGACTCTTTGCGGTATCACCCGGAGCTGTTTGTCACATGCCGTCTAACGTAATCGCTGTAAACTCATCGTTTATGCGTACTATGTATCGTGCTTAATGGTTTGGTAACTGAACGACGAGAAGAATTGCGAATAAATTTTCAATCTCGTGATACGCAAATCAAGTATAGGCCATGTGTGGTTCTTAAGCTAAGCGTACAAAGTAACAGTTTATTAAACAGAGTGAACTAGAGCTCGCAGTCTCACGCCTATGTAATAACTGAGAAAGGTCTCCAACGGAAATTCAGACGAATCGGACAAGAATGTAACTGATATCTTTTCGACTCGCAAACAACATACGGAATAATCAGTTGTCCCATCGAGATGCGCTGGCGTTCATTTCATGGTTCAAATTAAAAGAAAGAAATTCATGTTTCTCGAACAGTGTCGCGCGATCGCGTGATAAAAGATGGGAAGATCGTCAATCAATCCGCGACACCTAAGTCATTGTATGCATTATTCGGCGCAGGAGAAAAGAAGAAAAACAAGAAACGATAACATATTGTAACGTATAAATCCACCGGATATGCGTGTATATATCGGATAACGCGCGGGTCGGCGCAAAAGAATATTTGGCGTAAAGCAATGTCGTAATAATATCTGAGAGAAGTATGGTGATTCGCATACGTTAAAAATACTACCTACTTTCGGATCATCCATCCTCATTGTGTGCCTGTCACTTGTATTAACGTCCACCGGCCCGCAAGACACGCACGGCTTGTAACGTGCGACGACGGTCGCAGACGATGTCAGGCCATTACGTAACGACGTCGTTCCTGCTGGAACTGGCGGCCGGAATTACGATCGTGTAATCGGAATTCGGTGTAGTGGAGTTTAACGCAGCCCTCGTGTTCCGTACCGGTACGATTTGCACAACAGATGCCGGGTAGTCCTGAGCTTCCGCGTATAAATTGTTATCGCTGGCCGAACGTTCCAGTTCCTGCGGCTCGCCTAAACAGAGCGAACAAAAGAGAGGTAGTATTTGGAATATTTTCGATGCTTAAGATAAGTGGTAAACAAAACTATTAAGTTACATATCACGAGCAAAAGTAAGATAGCTGGTCCGTGACAATAATGTTAGAAAAGTGATGGTCAATACAACACGAAACAATTCAACAAATCCATACTAAATGTTTGTAAACATGATATATGATGTACAGCTTTGACATTATAGCGAGAAAATATGAAACAATTCAAATTAAATTCACATAATGTTTAAAAATTCGCAAAGAAATCATCGTTTTTCGCTCTTTGATGTGTAATATTTTTAGCTGAAGTTCCCTCTGTGTTGGGTATATTTGTGAATCATATGTACTCCGATAGGCACACACGAAGGGCACTGTAAATATTTGCCGCACGCGTACGACCCATGCAAAACGCGAATGGAACTACTGTTGGATCTCACCGTTTATGCTGTGAGTATCGGATACCATAAAAGCGGTGCCGCTGGATGGCTCGCCGGCACTGGTGCTAATCCTATCGTCGGTAGCAAAAGATTGTTCGGAATCGGAGCTGTTAATGCTCGAGCTACTATCCTGCCTGGTCTGCGATCTCCTAGCTCTGTTGAAGGGATTCTCCCTTTGTCGCGTGAACGTTCCTCCTTGGGTGCCTGGAAGAACAGTTTCTCCTTATCGTTATGTAATTCTGAATATCGTGATATGCTTCAATTATTCGTAAATTCTAAAATAGAATATTTGCACGCACCATGATGACCGTCACGAATGAGAGGTGTCGTGTCATCGGCATCTGAATCACTTTCGTCAGTCACTACCTGTTCATCAGCCGTAAAAACCTGCGGGATATGGTAGGAGAGAGTAAGTCTTAGTGACTATCGTCAGAATTTTTCTTAACAGTCTTAGAGCGAGAGTCCTTTCTTCAGGTGATACGTAGGTCTTACAGTATAGCGACCTCCGTATAACGCGGTGAAAAAAGTTGCGACAGGCCTTATGTAATGCAACATCACTCTCGTGTAACGTGAGATCTTATTTTACTGTTAAATTTTACTGTTAAATTTTTATAATGTTAAGAACATTGTGCGTTTCTGTGTTCAATAAACAACGTATCTTCGAATTTTATATAAAATCAAATTCTCTATATAATTTCATATAAAGATACGAATTTTTTATGTAAAATTCCATATTTTATATAAAGTTCCAAATTTTATGTAAAGTCCCAAATTCTATATAATTTTAAAGACTCGGAAAAACTCGGAAAGGCAAAAAAAATGTTTGTATAAAATTTCGTATAACGCAGTATCACATAACGTGAAATATATCTCCCGCGTTATATGGGGGGGATCAACTGCAGTGTAAATTCCGAAATAGTCCGGAACATCCGCCAACGAACCTTTCTCTTGCAGACGGGACATACTCTTCGGTTTTTCGTCAACCAGGGATCGATACATTTTGAATGATAAGCTGAAATTTAATGCGTCATTATTAATAATCCGATATTCCGGCTATCGCTCGAACAAAATATTTTTGATTCAACAAATCGCCATTAGTCAACACAGCGATTACGTTCGGCTTGGAATATCTTACTTTCTAACTTCCAAAATATTTACTTACTACTACTACTATTAAATACTTAAATTATTTTTAAATTATTACACATTTATGATATCTCTATAGATATCGTAACAGAATTTTAGGAATAGATTAACAAGGTTCGATGTTATCGCTTGAGTCATTAGAACATCAGTCTTATAGCAATATTATCCGACGTCGTGTTAAGGAGGACCTTGTAAGATTAAATGAGTTTGATAAGAATTCAATGAACTTTGAACCAAGTATACACGTATATATTAATATGTATTATGTATATATTGTGCGACTTATTCATGCAAAAAAAATTGACCATTCGAGAACTGAGATATTGCCAATCAGATATGCAAGTTGACATTTTTCATACGCGTTTTCCTTAAGGTTGATATTACTTTTAATTTCTTTTTTTTAATATTTTCTAAACTAAAAATAAGATTTTGATGAAGAATCGCTATGATATTAAAGACTCATGTGCAGACAATACGCAGAAATTTCAAAATTAACTATTTCGTTTTGAAGATGTGAAGTTCATAATTCATAATAATATAGTAATACCCGAAATGTATGTACATATGCACATATTTAAATACTTATACAGGGTGTCCCAAACTAATCTCGGTTTCCCTGTGCGCAAGTAGAAAGGGGTGAAACTGATGCGCTACTGAAAACAGGACACGGAACCTTGCAACTTTCTTAAATATCGTACGAACGAGGTACTTTATCGAGCTATCCGACGAGATACACACCATGCGCACACGGTAAAACCCGCAATTTCTCTCCCTCCACGTAATCTTCCAAGCAAATGGCACACGTTTCATACGGATCGCCCTTCGTGTATTTGTGTGTAGGAATCTTCTTTAAACTGGAGCTAGATAACCTGTGCCGCCGTTGCCGTCTCCTGTCCTTGATGCATCTAACAATCTGCACAGCCCGTAAACGGTCGAATAATCGAACCATCAGTACGAAAGTCAGTGGAAGAACTCGCGCGCGGGAGGCTTCACGTTCCGAACGCAACTTACCATAAAAACAAGCATGACTAGAAAACATATTCCAACAACAATGGCGAAAGGCAAGAGCAGGTGTGTGTTAATATTGAACGGCAGATCATCGTTAATCAATACAAAATACTGCTGGTTGTATAAATAATTTTCCTTGAGGACTATCCCCGTAACTTCGCTGACAAACACAGACGGTATCAAAATTCCCACGGGATCCTTCGCTGACATGGGTTCTAAAATGAGCGGGACAAATTAACTCCCTCTGTTCCCCCTCGTTAAAGGTGGGCCTCGGGGTCTACGGTGGTAACGGAGAATCGTCGCGATTATCAACGCACGATTACTTGCCTAATTCGTTGCTGTTCATATTATGAATGATCGCGGCATCGTATCCAGCTTTCTGCGCCATTCGAACTTTTATTTCGAAGCTACAATTGTAACGTCGTATTAAAACTATCCAATTACTATTGTAACTGACATTATTTGGCGGACCCTGTATCTCATGGCACGCATTAGGAGGATCGGAATAGACTACCATGCCCTGGTACAATCACATAACACAAAATTCGTGAGCGCACGTGTACAAACCAGACCTAAGATCGCAGATGTACAGACGGTATCGCAGAGAATCGTGACGAATTCAAGACACACAGACCTTGATCCCATCGGTCGGTATCAGACCGCCGAATTTCGCGGGCATGTCTCGGAACTCCTCCGCGATCTGGTGTCTCGCCTCCGCGGAGAACACTAGGATATCCGCACGGCCGCGAACGGCGCACAGGATCAGGAAGAGCAGCCATTGCAGGACCTGATGGCTCAGGCAACACTGTCGCATCTTGAATCACTCGGAACGTCCACACCTTTGCGTCAATTTCAATATCTCATGCAGTCCTCCCCCGAGTGGCTCATTATACGATCCTCTACTTGACGGATGTTACCCAATGTGCATCCGAAGCAGAGCGCATGGTAGGGAATTGCGGCCGGGGCGCTACTCTGCAACAGGCGAGATGCATTCCGCTTTATTTGCCTTGTTTAGAGAGACGCACAATACGATACAATATTTAGTCTGTTCTTTCCAGCCGAACCGGCTGCATTGGTTCAAGAAACTTACGTACACCGTGGCGTGAGAATTTCGCGCGTATACGCTTCGTACACGTCGATGTGCACGTTCATTTCCCGGACAGTCGGTACAGCTGGGAGGAACGGACGAATTATTTCCGCGACGGTATTCCGCTGCGAATTCAAAGAACTCTTCATCGCGACGCCGCGCGTGTTAGTCATGGCGCGTTACATGCGGCACACGAATAATTTACAATGTGCATCAGATAACCAGGATAAACAAAAACAAGTTAGCCTAACGGTAGCCACGTCGGCTCCACGCTCGATATCCCAAAGTACCAAGTCGCATAATACACGTATGCACGAGCACAGATGCGCATGCAATCTCATTACGAGTTCACGTCGCCCGAGCGGTCTCGGGAAAGAGAGAGACGGAGCGTCGAGTTGATCGCGATGCACGACCGACTGCGAACAATCGTGGCGCAGTTTTCAAGGTCCGCGTCGTTTATTAACATAGCGATGAAAACCTCAGCTGATAGCGACAGTTAATCCGGCCCCGCGAGGAGACGGCCGGAGAAAGAGAGACAAAGAGAGGTAAACAGATAGACAATGAGACGCGCGGCAACACCTGTTGTCGTCGTCTTTGTGGTCGTCTGTTTCCTCCCGACGGGTGTGGGCCCCCTCTCTCTCTCTCCCTTCGACGAGAGGCTGATTCTCGGTGGCTAATTAAAGCGACGAGCAAGCGTAACTATCATATCGCGTACAAAAGCACAAGACACGACGCTTCGCGCGACCATTTGACGGTTCTTATCACGCCGATACTCCGAGCGATTATCGGCGTTATGTGTTATTACGCGTAGAGTCGGAGTCGCGTAATTTCGGCTTTCGCTCGCTCTCTCGTTCGGCCACACACCCACTCGATCACTCACTCACTCGCGGAGATAACAATGTCGATACGTACCGCCGAAAGCACTTGCGACTCTCAATTCACACGCGACCATTAGTCACACCGTGTCGCTCCTTAGCCGGCCATTAATACGCCGAGGCTTCCTCAAGGAGACTGCACACCTCCTTCCGCCGTTCCGGGTTGAGCTTTTCGAGGATGTTCGTGTATCTCCGCCACTTCGGAAGACTTCCCGACTCGCCGGATGTATCTCTTCCGCGCGATATGATTGCTGTCGTGTAGCGCGTCACAATGATACGGCCGGAGAGCAGCCACATTCACGACGTTCAAGACGTCATGACCGTCGCTGGGCTCTCTTCGAGGTTAGGTGCGTCTTATTTGGATGCCGAGCAGTCCGGTCGATCGCCGAGAGGAGCCTGGCGGGAGGAGCGGCGACGGACGCGCCGTTGGACGACGTCGGGTGACGATCGGCGCGACGTTCGATCCGCATGCGACGCTCACGATAACGATTTCCGCGGAAAATCTTGGACTTCGAGGATGTCAGCTGCTGTCGGCCGTGGAGGACTTCGGCGTGTGGGAAGTGCGTAGACGCGGCAGCGCAGCGCGCATGCGCGGACGGTGTCGATTTGATTTTTAAATGGCTCGATACCCTAGTTTAATCCGATATTGCGCTGTTTGAATCGTTTCACTGTTTGACAGTTCGTGATAACGCGAATGACTGAAAAATTTCCCAAATATGCCCTTTTGACGTCTTATTGACGTCTAAAGGATGTCTTTATGACGTCTTCAGGTCTTCGAAATAGGTATGTAAAGGGCCTTCGGCTCCCGTTTAGGAAGCATACTCGGGCGGTTGCGATAGTTGAAATGGCTGAAAAAAATTACCTGTAATTTCAAGAATTATTTTGCGATTTTATTCTGTGATGTATCGGCCAGATATATTGGTTTTCTGTATATTTTACAGGTTTCGAGATTATGAAATCATCGTGTTTCTCAGGGAAAAATCAATAAAGTTACATGTTGCGAGAAATTTACCGCGTGTCATTTCTCGCCTATGACGTCACAAAACCAGTATGATCAGCGGAAGGAACTTCAAATCTCGGAATTTGACTTTGTATGGAACTTCACAATTTCAATATATGAAACGTATAAAAAGTTATTATCATCATATGTCGGAAGATATAAATTACATGTTATTTCATAAAGAGATAAAGTTGTATGTAATTTTGAATAGTTCTCACATATTTAACTCTTACCGGTATATGCTTTACATGTAGATCTCGGAATTTATAACTTTTATGGAACTTCATAGTTTTTATGACATAAAAAATATCCTTGTGTTGAAAGATATAAATATTATTTTATAGAGTTAAAATTGTGTATAATTTGGAATAGTTTTCATACATTTAACATTGCTTCCACTCTTGTCGATTTATACTTTATACTTACAGTAACTGGCCATATTATTAGCACTTTGATTTTTTAATAGAATACAGACTAGGAGAAGAAAAGCTACTAATTTTATGTTTACTCGATTAGAATAATTTTCGGTGTCAATCAGCGCTTTTACCTCTGAAGTCTTCTAAGATGTCAAATCACTTGTTATACCCAGAATTTTTGTAAACAATATTAATATTTTTCACACAGACATTTATTTTTCTATTAGTAAGCAAGGAATTTGAAGTTTCAAGTCACAAATAAATAAAAATAAAACTAAATTTCAATTGACACGCACTCAAAACTCACGTCTGTTTCCGTTATTATCAATAATGCAATTAGCGCGGGTTCATACTTGTTCAAGATCATTGTAACAGCCAAGTGAAGTGACGTTATAAAAAATACCTTTTATAGAATAATGGCTCCTTAACATAATTCGATCGATAAATGAGCCGTATTATAAAGCTGGTCCTCGGAAGTCAACGAATTGTAAAAAATTAAGGTGCGTCTAATAATATGAACAGGGACTGTAAATCTGGCTGGCGTCGTAAGAGGAAATTGATATTCGGGAAAAGATAAAGACGATATGAATTGACATGTCCGATCTTTATGTATCGAAATGCAATTACGCAGGCATAATTTCGTCGTGAAATTATGGTCAAATATTGCATGGTATAAATCGTAACGATACAGTTTTTCTCGCACGACGCGACCACGTGAAAGCGTAAACGGTATCAGTGCTGTCGTTTAACCTCATGCTCACGGAAGCATCGCGAGCACGTGATTATTCGCGTTCACAGTAATATGTGTTTCTTCGAGGTACGTACGTGTTACATACGTGTGTGCTAAGTATTTTACACTATTTTGTACTTGTCTCGCTTAGAAAATACGTGCGACGAACGAATACAATAAGCGACATATCTACTTAACACTCGCGCGCGCGCGTGCGCACGCTACGCGCGGAAATTGGCCGTACGATCCATCGTTGTTGCTGTCATTGTTACATTACATTGTTATCGGTTCATTCTTACGATACAATCACAAGAACAATGCTATATACATCGTGAACATATGCGTGAACGAACGCTATTTATAAAAGATACCGACGTCCGAAATGTGACACATATGCGTCGTCGTGGCGCGTTACGAAATACGACTTTATAGGAAAGAGATAAAACGAGATGTTACGAAAATTTCGTCTCTCTTCTAAAACAATACGATCGGTTCGTATCTGATACATATATGTATCCAGATAAATTTATATTAATACACTGTGTGTCTCCAACTTACGACTCGGCGCTCCTCTCCGAAAGATCGTGACGATGAGAGAAACGTGACGTGAGAAAAAAGAAAGAAAAAAGAGAGAGAGAGAGAGAGAGAGAGAGAGAGGGAGAGAGAGAGAGAGAGAGAGAGAAAGCGCCGCACGTTTTCACAAAAATAAAACCGGGATCGCGGCCAAACTCGCCGATCGCTAAATAAAATTTCACGAAAACGTCGCTACGCGCCATCGGTGGCGCGCGCGCGTCGCGTATTAAATTATACAGATCACGGTAAAAAAGTATGAATAGAACTAGGTTCAAAGTACGTATTCCCTCCGTTCTGTAAAACGTTCACGTGAGATCCCGATTCAATGAATCAGAAGATATCGGAACTCGCTCCAAATTCAAGGCACCAATCTGCACGACGTCGAACACACGTCGTTCAACGTCCGCCAATCTCTGAATTGGCACTCCATCGACAATTCGACCGCGCGATCAACGGTCACTTCTATCCTGAGCCCGTTTCAAGCGGTGAAGATTCAAATTTGCCCACGCGAGAATCTATCGTTGAGCATCTGTGCTTTCATAAGAACAGTCTTCTTCTGCGCCTGATCGAATCGGCTCACTTGCAGGTCGATGTCTCTGTCGAACGGCCTTCTCGTGGATCTCCCGCTTAGCTTCGCCTCTTTCTCCTCTTTCTAAAAAGTAAGATCGTGTTAGATTTCTCGGTGCGAGCGACGATCGCACAGGAGCAGCGGCGGATGCTAACTTTTCGGGGTTCTGATGTTGATACCATTTCACGAATCTCTTAACTGTTTATATAGGGTGGCCCACTAATTGTGCTATAACCAGGAAGGAGATGATTTCTCTCGAAAAAATACATCGAAAATGTGGAATAAAAATGTTTCATGTGAGGCTTCGTTTTCGAGAAAATCCACTTGAAAAATTAGTCGAATGTGTGACGCACAGAAGTACGTCAACGCGTTCGCGAGTGAGATGTGAAATTACCTTTTTCTTCTTGGCCATTTTACTTTGGTGTATCTCCAACAGAGACTTCTCGTGCTTGTTGCTCTTGTCCGCTTCCTTCTTGTGACGTTCTTTCGCGCGTTTTCTGTCTGAATCTTCCGTATTGCTAAATTTCCTCACCTCCTGCGCAGGAAATATCGCAGACACAACATTAACATCATCATATCTATGGCCTTATTTACTTCTCGTTCAAAATACGCGTATTAATCAGCAATTATCCATGAAGTTCATGAAGTCGGTGTAAACGAACACTGTGTAAAATGCCGAATCGCCACCGTACGGCGCCACTCACCGAGTCTCTTTGCTTCTGAGCTCGTTGCGCGGGCGTGTCAGTCCAGCACGACCTGTCCGACATATCCGGGCCATCCCTGATGCGGAACTTGCGCGGGCCCAGTCCTAAGTTGGCAGCCTGGGCCGGCGGCAACTCTGTCATCCATTCCTCGCGTTTGTTGTCGACGTCGACCTGAAACACGAACGAATTCTTGCTCTTGTTCTCTCGTCGATCCAATTCTGTTACTGTTGTTTTTCTCAGTGAACTAAAAATACAAATTTAACGACGTTTATATCTTTAAAGTTTTTGTACTACAAACATGTTTTAGATATCGATTAAAAAAAAAAAAAACTATATATTATTATATCGGCTGCGTGTTTCTTTAAGGAGGTTGTAAGGCGAAATGAATTTGATAAAAATGAGATGAAACTTGCATTACGTACATGTTGAAATTATTCAGTATTATTCAACTATTCGTACAATTAGAAAAAAATCGACTATTCGATAGCTAAGATATTTACAACTAAAATTGACACTTTTTATACGTGTTCCTTGAGATAAGTATGTTAAGTATTTGTATTATTGTATTTTACAAACATTTCTTTTTCTACTATATGTGTATCTCTCTTAGATAAACTAATGTATCAATATAGCATTAAGGAAAAAAAAATATTTTCATATTTGTAATATCATGTACAGGATGTCTGGAAAGTTTGGATACGCGCGTGTGAAAGTAGAATGGGTTAAACTGTGTAGAAGTCATGTTACCAAATTCGCACTCTGTATATTTATTTCAACTTCACGTCAAATTAATATATATTATTTAGTAAGCGAAACAAATGTGTAAAAATGTTTTGCTAGAAAAATATGAAATTTGCGAGCGGCCCCTTGGACGCACTGAACGATACGACAGACAGAGTCTCACAAGCTCCTCAAGTCAGAGCGATAACGCTTTACCAGTTGAAGCAAAGCTATCTCCTAGCACAAAGTTACATAAATATATTTCAGCGTCACGCATTATTTCCTATTCCAATTCCCGGCAGTTTAAAACGCCGTTGAACAAAGTCCGGGAGGGTAAAAGAGGGAATTGACGATGGCTACCTACTGGAATTCTCCAGGCAACTCTGACCGAATGTGTTTCCTTTACCTGCTCCGAGCAGCTCTCGTACTTGATTGTGCGGGCCCTCAGGTCCAACTGCTGGTGCACGCGGCTGTTCCTCAGAGCCGGATGGTCCTCGGGCAAGGGTCCTATCGCGCACTCGTCGTCTGAATCCGCTTCCGGCGAGGCTTTCTTCGCGCAGTCCGGCAGCACGGGGCCGATGATCCCGTCCTGCGACTCGTTGTCGCGCATTCGTTGCAGCAGATGCGGTGGCAGTGCCGGGCCGAAGGCTGCTTCCTCGTCCTCCACGGCTTCGCGTCGGTCGTTCGCTCGAGGTTCGACGGCTGGCGGTAAGCAAGGTCCGATGATAGCCCTCCTGCTGGTCCCCTCGCCGTCACCCGCACCGTCGGCGTTCCTCTCGAGACGCCTCGGGGAGGACGTCTCGAGTTGCCCGAACGTCGTACGGGACGTCACTTCCGGCGGCGTCGGGAGCGGACCGGTCTGCGGTTCGCTCCGCTCCACGACTCTCTCGGACGATCGCGTCTCGCCCGAAGCGGCGACAGCGGGGTGTCGCGAGTCTTTCTCCCCGAGACGCGCCGCGTCGCCGCGAGCGAGCGTCGTGCTCGCCGGCTCGCGGTGCGTTTCTCTCGCGGAGTCCGCGCGCGCGTCCCCCGTTTTCTCGGGGATCGTCGCGGCCGGGACTAGTGAGGAATCTGAAACGGCACTAGGATTATTATTACTCGCGGCGGACGCCGTGGACGGCTCGTCGTCGTCGTCATCGTCGTCGCTCCTCGCGTTTACCTTGCGCCCTGCCCGCCGTTCTGTTCGCGCCCGCTTCTTCGGCGGCTCGCGATCTCCGCCGGAGTCGCGGTGCCGCGAGGACAAGCGGGGACAGCGCGAGTCCGTCGGCCCGTCGGACGTGTTCTCGTCGGTCTCCGACAGCACGTCGAACTGCGACAGGTCCAGCTCCTCGCAGTCCTGAGCGTCCGCCAACGACGGCTCCTTCTTCGCATCCTCGGCCGCCGCGACGAGGAACGTCGGGCCGTCCCGCGCGGCGCTCTTCGGCGACGAGTGGTTCCTGGAGTTCTGCGACCTGTTCTCCTTCACCGACAGCTTCCTGCCGGAGTCCGGCTTGCCGTGGTCTTCGCGGCTGGGCCAGTCCGAAGGCTTCGCCTTGGCCGACTGGTGGGAGCGCTCCCGGGAACGATGCTTGTGCCTCTCGCGGGTGCACCGGCGCTTGTCGCTCGACGCCCGTTCCTCGTGATTCCTCTCGTAGGAGTGCTCGCGCGACCGTTGCGCCCGGTGGACGCTCCGGTCCGACTGCCGCTTCGAGTCCCGCGGTCTCGCGTCGCCGCTGGAATGCCTCGAGCCGGCGGACGCGTCCCGGTGGTCCTTGTGCGAATTCTTGCCGTCCTCTTGCCGTCCGCTCCACGCGTGCTTGCCGATCAGGTGCCGGAGGTCCTTGTCGTCGGTCTTCCGGCTCTCGTGCTTCGACCGCTCCTTCCGCTCGCGGTGACAATACCTGCTGTCGTCGCAGCGCGACGACTTGTGCTTCGACGGCCTCTTCCTCGGCGACTTGCCGCGGCCGCTCCTGTCCACGGGCGCAACCGGCTCCTTGCGCGTAGCCTCGAAACGAAAGCGCCGACCCTCATCGCTGTCCTGGCTCTCGGAGTCGGAGTCCATCGGTGTCATAATCCGGGCGGTCGCTGAAAAACACAGCAGAATCGCGTGAGCCTCGCGCCACGTGTCTCCTCTCACGGATATACACTGGGTGTCCCGGCGTAAGGAGCTCCTCCGAGTTTGCTTTCGAGACGCGTTCGGAGCACTATGGTTCCGAAGGAGGTACACCATCGAAGGGGAATGTTCTCCTTACGCTGGCAGACACCCTGTGTATCGGATAATATAATCTTACAGATAACGTCTCGTTCTCGATTCGGGAGAAAAGAAAAGCAAAGAGCAAATCTGAGAGTCGCGGATCAAAGAGTTACGCCTACAATGAATGCGTCACACACTTGAATGAAGAAACTATCTACTTTATTCTTGCGATACAAGCGTGGGAGAATTTACATATAATGTGTACGTGTCGGGAAGAGGGTTGATCTAACAATCCGGACGGTTCGGTAACACTACTCGACGCGCTTTTCCGTCCCTTTCGCCTCCGTCTTCTTCACGACCGCCTCAACGATCTTCTCGATTTTACTCGAGTCCGGCTTGGCGGCCAGCGTGCGCCTGTCGGGCCCATTCGACTGTAACATCTTAATTATCTTGGCGCCGCTGTACTTAACGGATTTCACGAGGCCGGCCGTGACGATTCCCTTGAGGCTCTGCGTCACGCTGGACCGCCAGACGATATCCTTCAGGCACTGCTCCAGGATCTCGCAGCACTCCGGGTCGTGCGCGACAGCCCGCAGGCAGTCCTCCGTGTCTCTCGAGCGCGGCCCGTGGGACCATGCCCGGACCAGCTTGATCTGCGGCGTTCGCGGCAGGTGATTCAGATGATGGACCTTCGCCGCCGGGCTGGTGTCCTGGTGGCACGCGACCGCCACGTCGTCCGACCTCGGTATGTCCACGTAGTTGTCGAAGTGCTTCAGCACCGGCTCGTACAGCTGCTTGAAGTGAGCGAGCTGCGGCGCCACGATGTTATTGATCTTCTCCTTGTTCTCGCCGAAGATCATCCGGAAGTCACCGTGGTAGGAGAGCCCGGTGATCTTCCGGAAGAACTCGATCTCGGTGAAGTGCTCGGGCAACAGCAACAAAGTGGCGTGCACCGCCGAGTGGAGATTCTGCACCAGGGCGGTGCGCAGCTGGGAGCCCTCGTCCGGCTCCACCAGCACTTTCACCGGCTTGTGCAGCCGTCCCGACAGATACAAGTGGTTCCAGTCCAGGAGATCTTCCATCAGCGACACCTCGGAGATCACTCCGTACTTGACGAGCTGGCCCTGGCTCGTCCTGATCAGGGTGTTGTAATAGATATTGGCGCCCGATCCCTCCTGCACCCTGGTGATCGCTTTGTGCCCGAGGAGTCTCAACAGGTGGGCATAATGCCCGGGATTTCTCTGCAGGTTCTCGGCGTGCCACTTATTGGGGTTGCGCGCGACAAATATGAGATCCAGCATATTCTCATTGTCATTGTTGGCCTGCCTGAATACGCCCGATCCGTAGGCGAAGCAAAACTTTACGTTCCCGGGGAACTCTCGCAGTAGGTGCCGCAGTGGGGACACCTGAGGGATTTTCGCCAGCATTCTCGACCGCTCGAGACTCTCGCGTCGCTACGTCGGCTGGTACCCTCAGCACTTTAGCGTGGCCGTCCGCATTTCAAATAGCGACTCGAACGCGTCGGAGGATTCGCACAGCTGAAAGACGCTCTACAATCGTAAGAGTACAGTTGTCGTTACGGTTCGCACCATGGGGAAGCTTGGGGCCCCGCGACGTGGCCTGTGTGAATGGACGGTGTGCGAGGACGAGATTCGCAGATCCGCGAGAGACTTCACATGCGTCCCCCGTCGGCGTGGAGAGTCCCCTCCGTGCGACGATTCACGTACGACTTCGCGTCCCCTGCGAGATCACGCGAGCAACGCTCTCCCGATGCGGTCGCCCGCCTAACCTAGAAACGCAGTTCGAAAATATATCACTCGCTCGAGTTTACTCACTTGAGGGGAAAGAGGAGGGTGATATTTCGGTCAGTGTTTCGGCGGTGAAAGGCCTTGCTCGGGTGCGTGGGACGTAAAGCACGCCCGGGTGAACACACGAGCGAGAAAAAAAGTGCACGATCAGCGCGCACCTTCGCGTCCGTCCGCACACATGCCTCGCTCTTACACGACGGCAAACGCTCGATCCCTACCTACCTCGACGATTCGCTGGCTCGCTCTCGGATGCATTCACGGTCACTCCCGCGCAGTCTGGGGGAAATGTCTTCGGCCGCCGAAACGAGACACGTCGAACGTGTCACGCGGAGAAGGATGAAATCAGATGTACGTGTGTGTGTGTGTGTGAGACTGTGTACACGGGGATAAGATTCGAACGAAACGACGTAGTTTTTAACCGCACACGCCGGTGCGCCTCCGCGAACTTTCTCGACGAGCGCAATTCGAGATAATTCCACGACCGAACTGCGTGCGGTCTGTTCGTTGTAGCTGCGCTGCTAAACTGGCGCGATAAGTTGAAGTGAGAAGACATCTGCTTGTCTCACTCGAACTTATCACACTAGTTCAACAGTGCAGCTATAAAGAACAGACCAATGTGACATACGAAAGCGCGAAAACTCTTGTCCAGAGGAATACCGGCGCGAAGTGTCACGTGATTGGTCAGGAATTCGTGAAAATGCTGGTTACTTTTAGGTACGATGTTTGCCAGTCGGATTTTATATTTAATTTTCAGATACTGTACAGCTTATTTCATTGGTTACGGGACATCTGATGATGAACTTAAGACGGTTAAATATAAGATCGAACTATCAATACCGGCCTTTAGATCGTATTAGATTGGATTGGAGATTGATTCGACCAATCAGTGCAAAGTTCACTAAATTTCATCAAATGGAGTTCAGTTAACTTTGCACTGGCCAAATTTAATTTAATTTCAATCCCCGATCCGTAGTCTGATACGGGCTTAATACAAATTGTCGCAATAGTAGCAGTGAATATCGGAACACAAGTTAGCGTTTACCGTATCTAAAAGACGGTATCGCAAAAACTCCCTGTTATGTCTACAATTGAGATTATACACCAATCAGATTCACGAATTTTAGTAGAACAATAGTTGCAAAGCCGCTTCCATTTTTTAGTTTCGCAGCTCCCGCTACGAGCCGCCACCGTTTCTGCCGACAACGCGAAGACGTAGTACGACTCAACGGTAGATTAGACGTCTTTTATATTTTTCTTGTTTTATTTAGCAATACTGCTCAACAATTAGTTAGACGACTTTTTTGTTTTCCCTTGCTACGGTTAACAACGGACCGAATAATCTTTTTCATCTCCGAACGGTATGTCGGAATTATAGGTTAGAGAGGCCTTTATTTCCAAGTAATACGACTCGACGTCTGGGGAGACTAGCTACTCACTCTTGAGCAGCACGAGCGAACGGCATGTCGGATAAACTTTTTTGTCTCCGTTAACGAGAAGTGAAACAGTTCTTCCGACCTGTCGTGCGCAGGTAGAAGTCGTAAGCGCGGTAAAGCTTATTCATGGAATAGACCGACATTCGACGTCTCTCGCAGAGCGTTGGAATCAGCTGGATTTAAAAGCCGTCGAGAAGGTAAACCATCGATCGTGTAGCGAAAAAAAGGAAGAATCGAACATCGATTCAACGGTCGATCATTACCCATTTCCAGGGGTGACGCTGGTCGTTCGTTCTCAGGATCGTGTTCAGGTCGACAGGTGCACGGCGGAGGTGTTGATTCAAAGAAACTGCACTGTCAGTCGCTACGTCTATTCCCCCTCTCGCGGGTCTGTGTAAACGGACGAGTCGGCGGATTCCGTGGAACGAACGACAAAAGCGACGGGCCGGCTTACGATATGGAGGTCGACGAAAACAACGCAACTACCTCCAGCAATAAGGAGACCCCGGCTACGGGCTCCGGGGACACCCCGATGGAGATTGACGAGGACACTTCCGAGAGGAATCCCACCATGTCCGCGACCCCTATGAGCGCTATCAAGGTCATGGCATCCTCCGGCACCATCGGCTCGGTATCCATCAATCTGCACCCATTAGTGATTATGAACATCAGCGAGCACTGGACTAGACTCAGAGCTCAGGAGGGCAGTGATCAGTTGGGTAGGTTTTTCTAATCTTGTCGGTTGGATTTCTTCCTATAGAGTGACACTCGTGATCTTGTTGATTGGTAATTCGCTTCAGTAACATTGTTCATCCATCATGTCTCATTTAGCAGAGACAATTAACACGTTGAATGCTGTGAAGGTCATCAGTGACCAGTACTGTGATATCACCATGTCTCGTCAAGTTGCGTACAAAATATAATTTATCGCATTTATAAAACAGGCTGTGTGGCCAATAAAGAGCTAACGAACTGAGATGATAGACGCATGTACTTTGTGTTATATTTATTTACCATACTTTTTAGTGATTTAATCATCATTCATTTGTGTGACCAATAGGAATCAATGCAGCATTCAACGTGTTAATGTAACTTATAATGATAAGTAGAATAATTGCTACTTATGCTAAAATTTTGATTATATATAAGCAATGTGATAGTTGCATTATAACCTGCGATAAGTTTTGCCAAAAATATCTGATAGAGCAACATTATTTAATCTATAATAATCATATGTTTTCAGTTTACGGTGCTTTGATTGGCAAACAGAAGGGTCGTAATATAGAAATAATGAATTCCTTCGAATTGGTGTTCACCTGCATCGGCGACGATGTCATAATCGATAGAGATTACTATAATACAAAGGAGGAACAATTTAAGCAAGTTTTCAGTGATATGGACTTTTTGGGCTGGTACACCACCGGTGATATGCCGAATGAAAGAGACATCAGAGTGCACAAGCAGCTTTGCGAAATAAATGAAAGCCCTGTGCTGCTGAAACTGGACCCAAGACCGAAAAATACAGACGTAAGTTCTCACTGATAAATGTGTCTTGATGAAGGTGAGCCTTCCTTCTTTCACCATTGATCGTACTCTACATAATTCTGTGGATTGTTACAGCAATTATCGGTTTCCATGTACGAATCGGTAATCGACTTAGTCAATGGCGAAGCCACCATGTTATTTGTTCCATTAACTTACACGTTAGCCACCGAGGAGGCTGAGAGAATCGGAGTCGATCATGTAGCAAGGATGTGTAACAACGATCAGGGCGAAAGTTCACTAGGTAAACACGCCGTATAATTGAAACGAATTTATTCGTTGTGTTCGTTGACAAAATGGCAGAATCGATGATGCGTAAATCGAACGTTCAATTTCAGTGGCTGAACATTTAACGGCGCAACACAGCGCCATCAAAATGTTGCATTCGAGAGTGAAACTCGTCTTGAGATACGTGCAGGCTGTGCAGAATGGAGAATTGAAAGGAAACCATGAAGTACTTCGAGCGGCTTGTTCCTTAAGTCATCGACTGCCTGTTCTAAATAATCCGAAATTTAGAGCCGACTTTTACAATGTTAGTATGGCTCTTCTTCGAAGAATACAGCCGTTCCCTCCTTGATCGGTGTCAAATAATGTTCTTTTCTGTTTCAGCAATGCAACGATTTCAGTCTGATGACGTATCTCGGTATCATAACTAAGGGCTGTAATAATATAAATCAATTTGTAAACAAATTTAATATCTTGTATGATAGGCAGGGCGTGGGGCGGCGTCTACGAAGCCTCTTCTTCTGATATGTGAATACAATCTGTTGTTTTTATACGCGTCTTTTTTTACTTTCTAGATAAGTGCCGAGCTCAGGATTTAACGAGAGATAGTGAAAGAGAAAGATAGAAGGAGGGAGAAATTCACACAGCCAACTTAATCGCGAGATAGTTTGAATACTACTCTAGATACTGTATCGAACGTAAATAAAACAAAAAAAAGTAAAATAAAACTAAAGAAGTAACAAAAAAGTTCCGCAGCAATCACTTGAAATAAAAGAAAAAAAAAAAATATGTAACAGGGAATACGGTCGGAATGACCGCGGAAAGCATTCGTTATCTTGTCAGCAATACTGTTCGGAAATAATATTTATTGAATGCTATCTTATACATATATATATACAGATGGTATGTTTAAGATATTTCTAATTAACAATAACGTGTGATATTAATAAAAGGAAAACTGTGATGCGTAGCAAGATACGTTTCATTTTCTGTTGAGATCGATCTTGAGTTTAGCCGACTCGTGGAGGGAGAAAAAGATAAAACTTGTATGCACATATCGAAAAAAAAAAACGATGAATCGCGATTAGACAGGACAGGAAGATCTCAAATAGAGGCAAAATTTCACTTGCTCTTTGTGTGATATAAATTTATTAATATATACTCCACGTATATATGTATACTTTTTTCCTGCACATGTATATGGTATATATATATATATATATATATATATATAGACTTTGAAACATTCCTATCATTGCTTAGAATGCGATAGAATGAGATAAAGCTTCTCATTAGGAATGAGAGAAGTTTATCTAAAGTATATAGAAGTCATAAAACAAATACTTTCACATGTTTCGCGTTAATAATGGAAGACCTCATTTCTTTTTAATTGATTTACACACTACCAAGCATAGTCCATCGTAGGCCATGTTACCCACTCTTCGATACCGGAGATTGCGGTTTTACATAGAAGCGGTTTATGTATATAAGTTTTATCTTTATAAAAAAATGTGGTTTATGTATATATATATATATTAATATTTTATTAGAAAATACTACTAAAAGTGTTTTTTCCTCTAAAAATCTATTCGCATATTACGTATATATATATTTCTTTTTGACTTAAAATATAGAGCGACTTAATATATATATATATATAAATATTTATTGTACAAAATATAGTTTAGTATATTGTGCCTCATTAATTATTGCATGTAACTGTGTCCAGTTACTTGTTTCGTATATGAAGTAAAATCGGAATTGACCTCTCGTACACGCGTCATACATACAGATACGCACACACACATATACCGACTAGACCGTTATCGCGCGAAATCATAAGGAGTTTCCTCACATTCTTTTACTAACGACGTGATTAAAAGATAACTGAAGCTCCGGTATTACACGGTGTCTACGCCGGCCGTTGCTTCTCGGGGGACACGCAACGGGAACAATTGCGGACGTGTAAGCCGCATCGACAGCCTCTACGTTTACAGACTAGAAAATATCGCAGCGACACTACGTCTCTATTTGATATATTGCCTTGTACGACGAATTGTGCGAGTTTGCCTGATATCCTTTTGATATGCTAGACGAGTAACAGTACAGAAGAATGAAAACCGTGAGGAAGAGAAATTCCCTCTCTACGCGAAATCAAGGCTCGCTAAAGACTCGATATCTGCAATGATTGATCGTCTAAGAGTATTCTCATTTGAAACGTTTCGTTTGGCAGGTGATTTTTAGACATTTTTTTCCTTTGAGTAAACCATGAGACATGCGATTCTGAAGTGTTGTATAAATATTTATCGACGTGCTTTAACTATACAACATATATATAGTAATATCCACATAGTATTATCTTCAATATTAATGACGATTTAGCGCTGAACGCAAAGAGGTTGCCACGATTTCAGACGTTACAGCTCTCTGAAACCAAAACGGCGAGAAAATTATTAAACTATAAATTTGTGGCTATCGTTCCTACCACGACGAAGTACCTTTAATGTTTCGATTTTTAAGGACTCTCAAAGCCGAAAAAAATGATCAAAATCGATTTTTTTTAAGTCGTGCCATTTGTAAACAAAATTTCTTTTTCCATCGTGGTAAGGACGATAGCCACAATTATAAATCTATAGTTGAATTATAACAATCTTCTTCACCGTTTTGGTTTCAGAAGTCTATAACGTCCGGTATCGTGGTAAACATGCAGGCAAAACTTCCGTTCGGCGTTGCTCAAAATGATTTATAACCTTATTAATATTGAAATAATACCTGAATAACGATTCTTGCTAGCAAAATTTGCGCCTGTTATGTCTATAAGCCTTGTATATGAGGCTTATCTACGTTTTGCTCGTGATTCGACAGTATATTGCGCAGCTTTCAAGTCAGATGTCTGCTCGCAAGTCGTTCGCTGTATTCGCATAACATCCCTCGTTTTGATCATGTGAGCATCTCACGTTTTTATAATGAAAATATCACGCGAAAATTTTGCTAATCATTTGATAGCTTTATGACGACGTACGACATAAAGTTTTGCTTATGCACATAAGCAATCTTTGTGCGTAATTTGCTGGATATCTGCACATAAAATGTTTCGAGTAATATGTAGAAATTACTGTATATATATGTATACACAGCACGCGCGCACACACAGTTAAAGTATAAATAAATATTTGTATAAAACTTCAAATTTGTATGTCCTATAGTTTTTTCGAGAAAAATTTGTAAAAATCACAAGGCGACGTTTCGAATGAGAATACCTCTTTAAACTCGTTACATGTTTCACCTAAAGCTACGCTCGCGTACGAATTAGAATAGTTCTCCTCTCGATCCTGCGTCGCTACAGTTAAATACCCGTTCTGTTTTTGTGTTTCTCCCCGCGAAAGGCGGGGGTGGTAGGGGGGAAGGGGATATTGATATACATTATTAGGTTCGCAATAGGCCGTCCTCGATCATGGTAGCCAACACGTCCACCAGAACGGACAGCATCGTGTCGGGCTAAGGACTCGGCTTATCCATACCGATGATCTCCTCGAAGAGGCTGTTCTTGCCCTCGACCCGCTCCTCGATCGCTTGCACGGCGAACCTGAGAGTTGCGGCTGCCAGATCGCCCACCGACCAACGTCTATCCATCAGGACTCTGCTCACGGTGTCTAACTGGAGAACGTCAGTGTCGGTTACTGAACGCTCTTTTACGTTGTTCAAATTTTCAACAGCGAATATCCGCCAACGGTAATAATTCGTATTACTATTCAGACGATAAACACACATGAATTATTATTTCATACGCGGGAGAAAATTAGTCTTAAATCGAGAATAGATATTCTCATATATAAGGAAGAATATCATGATTCTCTTGATTAAGATTGGATATTAAAATTAATCCGATTGATCATTGTTTCTTACCTTAGACAAACCGGCATTGCCCGAGGTGTAGTAAATTAGCCTGGGCACGCCCGCCAACGAAGACGCGAGCCACTGAACAACCAGCTTAAGTTGCGGATCACCCTTCAATCTAGTCCCACATCCCCAATTACCGGTGGCCACCGGTAGCAACCCACCGCCTTGAGGGCTGTTCTCGCGCGGCAACTACGGCACAGGTAACGCGATCTGCTGTAAATTGTTATCCTGCCTTCGCGTCGCTACGCTCTCTCCCCGATACAGGGAAGTACACTGGTTAGTAGAGACGGCGGAGATTTGTCGAATCGTCGCTCTCTGATGCGGACGGTTAAAGTCGACGGAGATGCGCGCGACGCAGGAGAAGCTGAACCGTGTTATTTTTGTTTTAGTTTTGCGAGGAACCGCGCCGAGCGTTCATCACGGCCGCGGGGAGAATGACTTCGAACGAGGCATTCTCGCCCCCGGCGGTTATTAATCCGAGAAGAACGAAGAAGCGAGAGAGAGAGAGACATGAATACGGAGAGAATCGTCAATCGGATAGACTGAGAGACAGACAGGTGTGTATATGTGTGTCAATATGTAGTTAGTAGTCGCGGGAGATCTTCAAACGTGTCAGATGAGAGAAGCTGATACCACTCGTCCGGCATGCACCGAGTCGAAGAAAGAAGGAAAGAATCACGAAAAGTCTCGCGGAACAGGACAAAACTGCATATTAGCGGCGATCTTACCAATTTCAATAACCTTGACATGTATTGCTCGAGGTTGCGGCTCTGATTAACTTGCGAAAGGCTTTTAGCCGTCGCTTGTCGGTCGTTACCGAATCACGAACAATAAAAAATAGCGACGGCCCGAATCTCACGAAATCTCACGAAAACTGCGAACCTCATGGAGAAAAAAAATCTGTCGTACTCCTATGAATGAATCTACTACAACATATATTAAAAATGGAAATTATGTATAATGTGTAAGAAATGGAAATTATGTAATAATTTCCTAACAGACAACGAGCGACGGCTAGAATTTCCTATATCGTTCAGAGCCACGTCCTTGACGATATATGTCAGGGTCGTTGGAATCGGCGAAGAGGCCGAACCAAATACGCAATTTTACCCGGAACAATACTCAAGCCTCGACGAGCGTGTTCAGATTCGAGAGACGGAGACATTTCAGGAAGTCAGACCTGGCGTCCTCTCCTCCGCACCTCTCGAACAATCTCTTCAAACACAGATGATTCAACAGACAAAAAAGAGGATACGGTAAACACAGTCGCTGCCTCATGCAATTGCGTGATATACGGCTCAAGTCCAGAATCACCTCGGCACCGAGCACGCCCGGAGCGCGTTTCGCGCTGGAAGCCGCCGGCATGGACAGGCATACGGTGGTCTGATCATCGACCAACGTTTGGAACACTTCCGACGTGAACGTAACGGCCCAAAGTTTCCTACGTTGGGAGTCCTTCGCTTCTCTTACCATCTCGCACGAGGCGTCCTCGTAGCGATCTACATCTGCCGATTCAGATACCTGTATAGAGCACGTGATCCTGTCTGTAGTCGAAACTCAGAATCCCGGTATTTTGTTTCGCCGATTAGACCTGTTCTGCAATACGCCGTACGTCGGAATCGGATGTCAGAACGCAGCCGATGGTCCTGCGAGATCTCCTTTTCGAAAAATTAATTCTCTCATTGGACCGTCGGTTGCGTCCCAATATCCGACTCCGACATACGGCGTATCGTTGAAGAGGCTTTAGTCCGCGTTAGATCAGCTTTGCCTCGGCGCAAACCGACTCACGCTGTCTCTCATTCCATCTTAATAAACGCAACGAGGTGTTCAAGGATATCCGTACGTTCTTATGGCTATGAGCGTTCGTAATTTAAATAGCGTTCGCATCTTTAATTGTCCCGTTGAGGAAAACCAGGTCGGAATCCATATAGGAAAACCATATGGAATCCATGGCTGCTCCTGGGGATTTGCGCCAAAAATCCGAGTTCTAGTTTAACGATCCATGTGGATTTTCATAAACCATGTGGATTTTTATATGGATTTCCACGTACCGTGGACTCTTGTATAGACTTTTATCATCCTATATGGATTCACATGATCCTATAGATCTCCGTGGAAATCCACTTGGAAATTTTCAACAGGATGGCTATTAGTGTAAATGAAGGATGTGATTAACTTGCTGATCTAGCTCTTCTGACTCCAGAGAAAAAGCACTAATTAAGATTCTTGGTCGCTCGTTGCAAGCAATGGTTGGTCGAACAAGCAATAAATAAATGGTCATGTAATTAATAGACAAAATCATGAGAAAATGGATTAAAAAGGAAGGTCCCGTGTCAAGTTAATTTTGCGGCCATTTCTTGATTGCTCGATTAAAAGAAAAGTATTCAGACAATTTTACAAGTGTGCTTGTAAATCGATCACAAATGTCATTTTGTGAATATACATCTTTTTTTTTTAATTTAATTCTTCAAGAATTCAGTTCATCGGTATGCTTTTCCNAGAGAGAGAGAGAGAGAGAGAGAGAGAGAGAGAGAGAGAGAGAGAAAATCACCCTTGAGTGAATCGTCTCGCGAATTAAACCCGATCTTTTTCTAACTCAGCCATTCTGTCGCAGGCACGCCGTACGTTTCCATAAGAATCCGCTGGGCCTTACTGATTGCTGTCTTCGGTTCTTTTGACGAGCGAGCTCCAAGCTGAGGCTCCTCACGGCCAACGCCAGCTTGTGCCGCTGGCTCACGTCGTTCGAGTCGATGAACGGCTGAGGATCTCCTTCTTGGACCGGCACGCCAGCGAACGACTCGCTCAGGGCGCGCTTCAGGAGCGAACCGGCGAATCGTACCACCGCCCGGTCCCTCGCATCCAGCTCTCGGCTCTCGTCCGCCACTATCGGGTCCTCCAGCCACTTGGACAGCTGCTCGTACACCTCCTCCAGTTCGGAGCAGAAATCTAAAAGGTTCATTCGTAATTCACAAGTGGTTCTTCGCCGAGTAAACCGCCGCTCATTAATCCGTTCGTTCGGAGAATTCCAACTGTACTCGCCGGAATTGTACTCGGTGCTGAAACTGTATTTGCTGCTGGCACTTGTGTCTTTCCGTTGGAACATGGGCCCCTGGCTTTGTCGAAACCGGCCGAGCCACTTCTGCTCAGCCTCCAGGGATTCCTTCAGGAACTCCTCGTCCACTGTCTCGTCGCGAAGGACGAAACCCCTCGAGCCTCCTCTTTTTACCCTGCAATGCATTGCGCTCGTTACACCGTTGCGATCTGCGATCTCTCGCCATCCTTCGCAGACTTTCCAGTAAACGAGTAACAGTAACATAACTGTTGGTTATAATTTCCCATTCAACAATATAAATACGATAATATAACACTCGTGTTGTAACTAAGGTATGTTACTGTTATTTGGTGTTCGCTGGGGTTATTCCAGAAAATTATAACGACATAAAAATATCGTAGGGTGTCCGAGAATGTTCGGTGTATCTGTGGTGCGCAGGTAGAATGGGTTAAACTAAGAGGAAAATGCACGAAATGTAGGAGGGGGAGGGGGGGGGATGTGTTTTATGAAATTTGCAAAAGTTAACGAGGAATTGGTTAAATGATCGCCAGAATGTTTACGTCTTACCGCACACTTTACGGCTGTTATAGACGACCGTTAAAAAACCGATTCTAGAAGTTTGTCGGTTTCCTCGCGAGACACCTCGTGTATCCGTTCATCCCGCGAAATCTCGGTAACCATTCGACGAACTCACTTGATGTCCTGATCGCAGACGTGGCTGCCGCTGACGCTGATGCCGACGGCGTAGCTGCTCTCGCCGGACGAGGTGTTGGAGGAAGTCGCGCCGGTCGCCGTGCTTTCCCGCTTCAGAGCGTCCTTCAGTCGCTGCGCAAAGGTGCCCCGTCTTTCGGGTGTGTCCAGCTGCGCGCTGTAACGCTTCGTCAGTCTGTGTTCCTCCTCCCCTGGAAAATCGTTCGCCCCCATTAGTAAGTCGCGACTCTCCCCTGCTCGGATAGTTTCGCTCTGCTTTCGGCGCGCACCGCTTGGTTCCTCGTCGATGGTTTCTTTGGCGCTGTGGAAGCTGTCGGTGCTCTGGCTGTTGCAGCTGCTGTAGACCGACATCTGGCCGAGGGACTTGCGCGTAACCGGCAGCACCTCGCCGCTCGAGCCGAGCACGATGAAGCGGTTCCGTCGGCTGTTGCTGCAGCTCGCGTCCTTGCATATCTTGTGCGGGCTCGGCGGTCTCATTGATTTACCGTTAGGCCTGCTGCGCACCTCCTGCGTCGCGCCGTCCAATTTGCCGCAGTCTTCGCGCGGGGACTGCTTGTCTGCTCGCCGGAAGAGAAAGAAGGGACGAAAGAAAGAAAACAAGAGAAGACTGGTAATACTACAGGCGAACGAGCGGGATACAATTCGAGTCAGGGTCGGACGTTTATGCGTAGGATACAATAGCCTACGTCTACGCGTAGATAATGTAAGCTGTGTGTGTCATCTACGCAGGCAATAAGTAATCTATCAATCGTTATGGAATGATTCGTTTTCTTCTTATATTTCGTGATCTTTATATTTGGTTTCTGTTAAAAGCTCACACAGGTAAGCCCGAGTAACAACATTTGTATATTAACAGCACGTACACCTTTTATATCACTTTACAGATATTTTAAACATGCGTAAAGTGGATTTTATATCCAACTTCACTTAAATTAACCCATTAAAAATTGGTAAAATTATTTGGTTTAAATGTAACGGCACACAATTTTGACATTTTCCAACGCCACGAAAAATCGACAGTGGATTTGGCGAATTTGATCGACTCATTGATAAAAAAGAGGAAATAAGCGTTACGTGCGTTGTGCCTATTTTAATCACGAACTGAGGAACACCGTCTCTTCTCGCTTAAAAGCCCACAGTTGAATTTAAACGGCACAATTTTCATACTGCCCGCATTTATCAACCTTTCCGCTTTTGATATTCAGTATCTTCATAATTAATATCAAAATCATATATATGAACTGTCTTTCCTAGCAACTTAGCAAGTCCGTGTAAATATCACGCAGTCGGTAGATTTGATATCTACGCGACTTGTAAAAGCGTGATCTTAAAATCTGCGACGCAACATCGAGTGAAACGCAAGTCGGCCTTTCTCTCCCGCGCCTTAGTCCCCCACCTGTCTTGGAGTAGACCTTGTCTTCGCCCTCCGTTTCCGGCGGGGTGCTGCTGAAGCTCTCGCCGATCGGCGACAGTCTGCGCGAGCCTATGCCGATCTCCGCTTCCGGTTCCGCCTTGATGGGATCCGTCGGACTGCTGGGCACGTGTCGCTGGCGGAAGCCTAACAGCGACTTGTTCATCTCGCGCAGAATGTTGTCCTCCTCGAATTGCGTCAACGGCAGCCGCGAGTAGTCCTCGGGGTCTATACAGCAGACCGTAACCTGCGTTCGGGAAACTGTACGATTGCTCATCTCGCTCTCCAAGTGCGTTCGCGGACGGGGAACGGCTCCGTCGCGCGGGCGTGCTCACTCACCACGTTCGGCTTCGGGATGCTCTCGAAGATCGCCTTGTGCCGCGGATCGTTTATCCTCGACACGTGCCGCACGCCCTCGATTATCAGTACTTCGTTGTCTTCTAAGGCCTCGACGGATAGTATCGCGGCGAGCATCTCGGGATGCGTCGCCACCTGGAATGCAATTATTTATTTATCTGTTCTTCTTATCCGTCCATCCACAGCGGATAGCGACTTTTCGGGACTTGATGCTGATATTATTTCGGGGGGCCCCTTCACTGCTTATGTCATCTTCTCGTGCTGCAGAGTTCGGAAACTTCTACTTTTCTAGGCGGAAACGCCGAAAGTACATCAATTTTCTAAAGACATCGCGATATTTCCGACCAATTTCTGCTGCGGGATCTGCGGATCGGTTTTCATTTTCTATCACTCTCTTCGTATTTCTTTTTTTTTTTTTTTTATTAAATCCCATGTAACATATGTTAACATATCAAGAAAAATATCTCCCACGAAGAAGAACGTTTCGGAACGTTTGTTGTCTCGTGAAGATGCCGAGATGTTTTCGACAATAAGCCGATGAGATGTCACATAATAAACATAAATATTATTTTAACTAAATAGAGGAATTTCCTTTTTGTTGGAGACAGAGAAATTTCCCTTCTGTTGAATCGCTTTCATTTACTTAAAAGATACAAATTTTCCTTCGAATGGCAAGTTTCCGAAGAAATTCGATCCTTTCAATACGGGAAAGCTCAAAAAGCTTTTTATCTATTTACCTTTGTATTTTTATTATTTATTTCTTTACAATGATCGAGGAAGCACAATCTGGCGAAACGTTCATCGGCTGTACAAAATCAATAATATCGAAGAATTTTTCGAAGAAAAGGGGTGTGATTCGGACAATTGAATTTACTTTGAGATTGTTCGAGGACGAAACGAGATAAGATTAGAACCACGAAGCCACGACGATTCGCATCGTAGCTTTGCCAGTTATTCATGCCGGTTGCTTACATGTACAGTTTCCTGCGTGACATCCCCATCGAGCACTCCGCCGCCGATCTTAGCGTCTGCGAAGCAAACCTGCAGCACCTTCGATTCCGTCTCCATCCTCTCCAACCGACCCTCGTGGCGTATCGTTAACGGACACAGAGGTACGTTACTTTCCAGCCAGTCCTCGATAGTCAACCATTGTTTAGCCGACATCACCTGCGAATTGCGAGAATTGAGATTTTACTGTCTCGGAATTCAATTGACAATTTAATCGAGAACAAAAGGAAATCGATCGACGGAGAATCGAAGACCGCGAACGTAACGCGCGATTGTTAAACGCACGCCAGTATTCTGCCGGTAAAGTTTTTAAATATGACATTTTCTTAACTTAATTTTCTTATTCAGTTATCACGAAGGGAGTATACCTGTCTGGAAATTACCAGGCGGCCGTCGAGCGCATGCTCCGTCTCGAGATAGTTGTAATAATGAAAGATACTTTTAAGCTTAGCTTTCTGTGCGTTTCTGAAAAACGAGAGAAAGTACGAAAATATTATGACTTTTTACTTTCTTTCTTTTTTGTTCTTTTTTTTCTTTTTCACTTGGAATCGTTCGACGAACTTTTCCGAGGATTCGATCCGCTCGGGAAGTTACTCACTTGTGAAGATGTCTGAAGAAGTTCGTGAAATTGAAGTCGCGCAACGTAGGGTGGGTCTTCGTGGTTCTCTTCGGGTACGTCGAGAAGAATGCGTTCGCGATTAAGGAGGATACGAAGGCGTAACTGTATTCGATGCTATCACCTGCGCGAAACAAATAAATTCTCGAGTACACATACGTTGAGATCATAAGATTCTTCGGGTCTCGCGATATCCCGAGAAACTTCGCCGGGCAATCGATCTCGCTGTAGCGGTACCTTGCTGCTGGAGGCTAAAGTGTAAACCTTGCGGCGGCTTAGTGGATCTCAAAGCCTTCGCCCTCTCCACCATCCGCGGTATTGTCTTCGTGAACACCTGCTCCCTCTCCGCGAGGTCGAGGTCTTCGTCTAGGAAGGTTGCCAGTTCGGCGAACAAGTCAGGGTCCTGCACGTCTTCCTCGGGATCGAGGCTTATGCTGAACAGACCCAAGTGTTTCTTCGTTAAATACGAAAACGCCGATCTGCCTTTCCATTTCAAGATTAAAGGGGTATTCTCATTTGGAAAGTTTCGTTTGGCAGGTGATTTTTAGGAATTTCCCTTCAAAAAACCATAAGATATAATTCTGAGGTTTTGTATAAACACTTATCTACGTTTTAACTATATACAATAGTATATACAAAGTAGCCCAGTCGGATTTACATCTCTCGCGTGTTGTGTATGTATCAGTAGAGATGAAGTTCGTCACTCCTCTACTATTTAATGACTCGAAACTCTGTACCCTGTATGTGTGTGTGCGTGTGTGTCCCAGTAGAACGACGGGAGATTACGCGAGTGTAACGTACTTGCACATGTCATGCAGTCGCTGCATCGCGTCTATCAGTTCCTGGGACTTCCTGGCTGCGGCGGCTTTGTCCAGTTGCTTTACCACCGCCGGCCACCAGGGCAGGTCGCACGGCAACATCACGAGGGCCATCGTGGATCTGTGAAGCAAACGTGGGGAAGTCTTTTGTGAGAAAAAATAATTCAAAAGTAGCGACCGCGAATTCACTCGTCTGCACCAAGTAGAACAGAAAGTCACTGTGACGCTGCAAAATGGTGAGAAAATGTAAATTTACTTTCCGATTACTTTCTCATTGTTTCGACGTCATTATTTGTTCTATTTAGGTTCCCGCCACGTTCGGAGTGAGTCTCCTCTCCCCCACCGACGAAGAAGCCCTAGAATAGTCGTAGTGACGAGCGTTTTTTTGATGTATTCAGTCCGGAGTGAACCGGAGTGCTCTGAGAGGCCGCTAATCGATTTGAATTTATAGTTAGCGTGATATGTCAAAGATACGCGTGATGGACGTGCCGAAGTGGCGCGATCGTAAAATAAATCCGACCGGAGGAACCTAATCATCCCTTCCCTCCTACCCATAAATCGCCAGTCGCGGTGCACTCGCATATGTACCGTACGATGCAATCGGGACTAGCTCGTCGATCATCGCAATCCGTTGATCATTGGATCCTCGATTGAGTCGAAATTAACGCGTTGTCGATCGCATTAACGTTTATTATCTTTGAATAACAACTTCCGGTTACACGGGTCACCTTCAATGAACGCGGCCGTTGAACGAGCGAACTTACTGCCGTTAATCAATATTCTTTCAGAGATATCTACTCCATGAATCTAAAAGAATACCTCGATCAAAAGCGATAATCACTCAACGATTGTACAATCGTTGTGTTTTCTGAATGCACCCATTAACAGTTATTATCTTCATATAACAGGTGTTATCCAAGACGCGGATATTTTCTACAAATTCTCTTCTCCCTGTTTCTCATCTCATCACCTCGTCATTTCGTCCTACGTGATATCTTGGAAAATGTATATGTCATATTAAAAAGTTCTTGAGGTTTTTCTATTTATAATGACTATACTCTCTTTTCAAAGCGTAAGGTTAGGAGCATTGTTAATTGTTAATCCAAAGCGTCACCCTTAAGTAATAAATGTAACTGTTAATACAAGTTATTATCTTCGGAGAAGGATTGTTGAAGTAATCGAGATTATTATCGCAATATTATCGTCGAATCCCTTAGCAATGTCAAAGTCCGCGACCTTCGAAGCATATCGGACTGTTCAATTCTCCGGGCGATTAGACCTTAATCGCTAAAGTTCTCGATTTCGTCGTTCGGCCGATGAGGTCACGAACTTTCGAGCTTGACTTGGATCTCGATTCAAGACCGTGAGTTTCCGTACATTCTTCGACGCACAGACCTCGATGCCGCGGGTTCTATTTGAAATTCCGACTTCAGATTCCTGCTCCGAGCGGATTGTTCACGGTGTAAGTTTGCGTCGGATTTTTCGCAATCCGAAAGACTTCCGCGAGTTGAGCATCGTCCGTTCGTATTCCCTCTCAGGGAGACACCGTCTGGACACGCAGGCGCAGGCCGGAGGGTTGGCTGGTTAGTAACCTCGTCGCACACGAGGCGAATATAATTAGTCACTCTTTAAGAGCCGGGGAGGGAATTCACCGGTCTGCTCGTGAACGACACGACGAGTTGCGAGATGACGAGCGCAACGGCGAGACGGCGACGAGCCGGCCTGCGGATCTCTCCAGCGTGCTCCCGTTTACATAATCACCTCTCTCCTCCTTTGTCTTCCGCGACCTCGTCGGATCAGCTGACCCGTGAACGGAGTCACGTCGTGCGCTCCGTCGCGTCGACGCCACGCACGGTCACCGGCGACGAGCCCAGCAGCCGGATCCCTTCGAGGCACATAGTCGAGACCAGGCGAAACCCGCGCTCCTGGACCGCCGGCACCCTGAGGACCACCCCGAGGATCCCCGAACTCGGCCGCCGTTCACTTCCTACGCGCGCTTCCGGCAGCCGGGAACTCCCGTTCGTGACTCCTCGACGTCCTGATCGCGAAGGCTGCCGTCCTCCACCTCCCCCCGACAATCCCCCGGTGACGGCTCACTCTTCCTCACTCCACCGCCTCGGCGCATTAACGCGATCTCCGGGAGTCCGGAGGCCGAGCTCCGGGTTCCCTCGGGGCAGAACGAGCCCGGAGAGGAGGTAGTGCCGGTGTCGTCGTGCCTCTCTCTCGCCGGCTCGATTGATCGTCCGGCCGGTTCGGAAGGGTCGCGACGAGCCAGCCGTTTACTACTACCGGCCGCGAGACTACTATCCGTTACTACTGCCGCGCCGCTCGCCGTTCGTAACCACTGCCGCCCGCCCACTCTCATCCCCCTCAGCCCTTCCCCTCGCGCACCCTCGTCTCCTGACTTTGTCCGCGGCGGCTGGCGTTGCACCCGCTATTTATAGAGCGCGGCGCCGGCGCCCTGCCAAACCCTATATAGAAACCGATATAGTGCGTAAGTCAAAAACCAAGTGAGCCACCCTGGTGAGAGCCGCGTCGAGGAAACACCGGGACGGAGAGACACCTGACTACGGCATCGCACGGCAATGCTGGTGACAATTATAAACGTAACTTCTTTAGATTCGTGTCGCAGGAAGTTGTTCGGAGTAATTCTCGTCGTCAGTCCATTTCTGTAAAAGTCGTATAAATTCATGAGCGTACATGTTAGAAAATAAATAAAAATAAACAATATCGCCGTTTGAATATCTTTAGGTTGGCAATGTAACCGTCAAAACTATTTAGGAGCCATCACGCTTAACGTGCTTTTTCACGTTTCCACTCTTGGGTAAAAGTCGCATGATCGTTACCCTGGGTTAGAATTCCGAGCTGGTCCTCGAGGAGACGCGGTACGTCACGGACCGCGGTCAATTAACTTTCCGAAATAAACACTCTGGCGAGGCGAGTCGCATTCGAGAATCGCGACGTGCGATCGGTCATGGCTTGCTGTAAAAATGACTACAAAAGCGACTGTATGACGAATGTGTGTACAAAGTGGACTTTATTTAGTCCAAGACGATGAATCGATCGGTTTTATTTATCGAGAAACTCGGCGTATACAGGATGTCTCAGAAACTGCTTCGAGGACGACTCGAAGTCTTTCCAATTTTCAGGGCTGACGGGACATCGGTGCGGACGAGAGCTGCTGTACCGATGGTAGGTCGCGACGACTCGACAGATTCGATCAAGTATTCAAGATAAAGATAAACGGGAGAGAGAGAGACGCTCGTTGTCTTTTTTCGAATATTGTGGCGGCGGGACAGGTTCGCGCTGCGATTTGGAAGGCGGTGTAGCCGCTTCCATTAGCCGGGGATCAATCTTCAGTAATGACGTATACGACGCGTTGACTTGGCGAGAAAAGCCAGTAACACGATACTAAACTCACAGTGGCAAACCTCTGGCAGCTCGCCATTTGCAACCTTGTGCCAGATTTACTCAACGTTAACTCATAACTATTTATACACGTTGCACGTTTTCAGGAACTTTTCGAACTGTGAGCGGTCGGCTGGTTCTCGTTCGCTGGTGAAGTGACTCTTACAAGGATAGGTGGAGTAGTAGAACGGAAACGAATATGAATACGCATTTTGCTTGATTAAAACGAGGAAAGAGCACAAATCACATGGAACAATAAGCAAGAATATATTTTTCACAAATATGATAATAATATTATAAATGAACGCGTCTCTTACTGGGTTCATGAATGACCTCTACCTTTCCTTGCGAAAGATAACGTTGTATGATCAGTCACAAAAGTGTTGGAAAACTTTGTTTTTGATGACTGTCGCAACGCATCCAGTAGGAAACTCAACGAGCACCAATTGTCAACAACGTTACGTCAATGTTATAATTTCTCACTCAATAATATAACTGTTACTTACAACATGTGTTATACTTATATTGTTCAGTGGAAAATTATAATATTGATATAATGTTACTGTTACGTTAGTGTTTACTGGGAAATATATCTCCTGAGAATTCCTAAGAAATAAATATTCTCCTGTTGGACGCGGGATGCGTGTTTCGAAAATTATGAAAAAATCCAGATTGAACATAAAATGACGATGACATCAAAATGACGTTAACATGACGAGACGATGATCATAAAAGTAATTTTTCGGTCATTTGTATATCATTTTCACTCCATCGTCATTTTGTATTCTACCTGGGAAAATGTTGCAGCCTTTTTGTAACTGACGCTATCCCGACATCGGCGATGAAAATTGAGATATTGAGTGCAACAAGTTGTAATGCAAGAGGTATTCATAGGTGGGGGATCCATCGCGCGAACGCGCTGCCGTGGCGATTTTCCCGCTTCGGCGATTGTAGCGTTGCGATGCAAAGACACCGTTCTCGTGTCGCAATGCATTTCTCTCACGACAGTTAATCAGCATTGTTCGGCTGCGTCGTGTCGTTACAAAGGCGGACAAAATTAGAGCGTTTCGACATGTGCCGAGAGAGTGGGCTGCACTTTTGGTTCGACGCGTCCGCCTGCGGAGATATCAACGCCTGATCAAGAGAGATCTCTCGAAATCGCGCGAACAGGAGAATTGAAGTCTCTGCCGTGGACACGCCAGTGTTGCTGATTCTCGTGGCATTTTTGCATTTTGCATTGTGTGTCACGTCAAAAGTGGATGTCAGAAGTATCGAATGAACGATACTGTGGGATCAAAAAAAATGTATACCGAGAGAAAAATTCACTTGAATTTAGTAAATATATTTATTTCATTTATATTTGTTACATTTTAGTAAATATATACTAAATTTTGTAAGATTTTTTGTATTTAATACTTATTATGCTATAAGACGTATCATTTTGGAATCGAACGGATTCTCTTATTGTGAAGTTATCACTTTTTAATTCTAAAATATATTTTTTTCAAAATATATCTCAAATATATATCATTCGTTTCTTTATGTTAAAAAATTGCAAAAAATTGTTAACATTTCAATTACAATCTAACATAAGTAAAGATTTGTTCAAAATAGGGAAGTAAAATTTTTAATTACAGAAAGAAAATTTTTACGTTTAAGAAATACTTAATTATATTAAAATAAGTGAACTATTTATTCATCGGAAAAAAAATATATTTCTTGAATAAGAGCCGAAGGTTGCGTCGATCTTTTCTCGGTTACGGTCAAACGGGTATTGCGATTTAATATGGCGTTACGCAGCGCGCTATTAAGGAGACTCTCCTCCGATTAGAGTAGCACTGACGTCACAGACGCACGTCAGCTAGGATGGTATGAAATGCGCTGTACAAACGGCGACGTTCATTAATGTAAAACCACGTTCGCCAGGTGCGGACGCCTATTACTATGCAACACGGCGATTATCGTGTTCCGACAGGTGCCACCACCTTGCGGAACACGACTCGTTTGCTCCCGCTGTCTAGGATTCAGGGAGGTAGTATGCGACGACACGTTGCTCGCGCCCGTCGAAATTACTCGGCGAGGAATTATGCACTAAGACGCGTCCGCAATTCACTCAGAAACAATCGGTTCAATAATTCGCGCTTTTTATAATAATTGCCTTTCACGCGGATGATTAACGACTGTCGTGTCGTGTGCCATTCGATCGCTTGTCTGTCTTCATTGCTCGCCGTCACTTCACTTCTCAGCTTCCACGTGATTCTCAGTCGATCGAGACCCGCAGTTTGAATGTCATGTCATAAGTACTTCATTATGCATTTAATCAGGAATCGAATGGATTCTCCGCGAAAAAAGAGCTGTTCCTTTTTCTGTCATGATCAAAAGTGACTTATGGAAGTCATTTTACCGTAATTTTCGACGTTATCGTGACTTTTCTGCTTTGGATAACAACAATTGGTCGGCTCGTTTATTGTTAGGTGAATTCGATCGAGCCTACCCTTTCTCCCTGGAGTTTTTTCCAGAAAAGTACACCTCCAAAGACCGCGGAGATCGTCCCTCGCGTTGCCCCTCGGCGGCGCGCGGGAATGGCGCGCGAGCGGGAGGGCTCTCCACCTGCGAGCGCCATGTTGTTCGCCGCTACGTCCCTGGTCCCATTACAATCGCGGCGGACCTCACGGTCCCACAAGGCGATTGTATCGAGCTGCCGGAGAAGCGGCAGGAGAGGGGTCTCCATGTCGGTTCAGTGAGCTCACGCACGTCGAACACTCATCAGCGCAACGGAGCCGCGGCGCGGTACCCGTCGACGTCCAAAAATGGCGTTCCGCGCGGCGTAGCTCGCCAACGAGACCGCGAAGTCCGCGGACGACCGGCACCCGCCGATGTCGTCGTGATCACTCGAGCTCACCGACCGACCGACCGACCGAATCGCCGCACCTGGTGGTGTACCTGGCGGTGGTCACCGCTACGAGGAAGAGCCGACGTAAATACAGCGGAACCGCGCGTGCGTTCCTGCGTCCTGCGTGCGTGCGTGCTCGGCTATACGTGGGTGGACGGTGCGTGTGTGCGTGCGTGAGTGTATGTGTGTGTATGTTGCGTCTGGGACACGCGTTCATGCGGTATCCCGAGGACGACGTCTCGGGCTTCCGTGCGGCCTCGACGGAGCGGCGGATGTATGACGGAATTCCGTCCGGCAGGGGATTCTCCTCCGGAGGTGAACGCGTTGCCATCGTAGTCGCGGATGATCGAGGCGATCGCGAAACCGAGGATGAGACTCGATGGAGTCGCCGGGAACGAACCGTTGCGCGCTCGGGAATCTACGGTAACGAAGGGTCGTCGAGCATAAAATAGGCGGCGCCGAGAGAGCCGGTGAGACGAGGAACTCTCTGGCTGCGAGGGTCCGCGAGGCTTCGATCGACCTGAAATTTGCGATGTAACGATCCAGGTCGGCCCCGTGAACCCGATGACTCGCGAGGTCGCCCGAGCTGAAAGTTTTCGGCGGGACAACTTTACGTGACTTCGGGTTTACGGTACCGCGGATCGAGATTCCTCGAGTGCTCTCGGGGACGATGGCTCGAGAATCTCAAGGATCTCCGGAGGATCTGGACTCCATAAAATTGACGATCTGACGTAACGGAGATCTCGGACCGTTCACTGCGAATCTAAGCGCGTCGTCGTCACACGGATTAACGTGCGACTCGGCCGAAGATTTGTTCGCATGCTTCTACCGTTTAAATTGCAACACAGGCGTTAATTTGATGTACGTATAAACGCATCAGAACGGCACGCGCGTTGCGATTCGAGCGGTTAAGAAACGTGTGGAAAGAGCTCCGACCGAAACATGCATGTGCGCGTGACAAAAACACGCTTGGATTTGCAGCGCGGGACCTTGTGCAAAGAGTTCTGTTTGTTTCCAGTCGTTATTTTACGATTTGCAACGCAGGATGCTCTTGGCAACCGGCGGGATCAAAGGGTCAATTCGTGCGTTTGATCGAGCGCTCGTGACGCGCGTCAAGGATCCATAAAAACGCAGAGATCCGCGGAGCGGCAGGCGCGTCGTAAATTCGCTTTGACATTCATCGAGTCGTCCCGATGAAACCGTACTGGTAGAAATTGGACCTCGGCGAGTGTCTAGTCACGAGATAATAAATTTACGTCTCACGTCGCTGCTACCCGGGAAAAAAAAAGATCATACGTGAAATTGTCCAAAGCACGCGGCCCGCAATCTCGATCGCGATCCACCGATCGCGCAAGACTCGCCGGACAACGACAATCCGCCGTTTATCCGAGCTAATGAATGGAACACGGTCAGCTGTGGAGGCCAACCGCGGGATTTTCAACGACGTTCTCCCGGACTCCCGTGAATGACGCGAACGAGATTCGCGCGTGCGTGCGTGCCGAGAAAAATTTGAGAGTGAGGTGAAAGTCGGCGCGCGCGCGCCGACTTGTATGTATTACTGAGTGAATTTGATTCGCGGCCGTCGTTCACGCGGGAGCGATCCTCGTTACGACGTCTCGCCTCGCGTTTAACCCCTCGCGTTGGCGTTTAATTGACACTCGCATGGAGCACATGCCTCTGTTTAAATCGCTCGGAGAGAACAAAAGTACGTGGGGTTACGGCCGGTATTAACAGTCGTTACTTGAAACTTATCTTAAGTAAGCCGCTCAGATATGAATTCAGAGGTAAGTGCGAGTTATTCAAATCAAATGTCGGATATATCGTACGATTCAGCTGGAAAACTCAAGTATAACTTTGAATTCACTCATTATAGACTGTGCGCACATTTTTGCGTTTGGCAGGACTTAAGATGGAAACCCCGTTTCGAAACCCTTCTCACCTATTTTCCAACTTCACTCGATCTTCGAGGATATCTTCGGTATTGACTTAGAGAGGAAGTTTGAGAAATAATCAGGCCCGTGATAGCGAATCGTATAATTTGTTCAGTAGACTGAACGTTGTGCTTGAAAAACTTGTGTTCGTTTAAGCAAAACGTTCGTTGATTCAATTATCGTTTTGTCCTCACTGTACGAGACATGTCGGGCGATTTCGGCTCGTAAACAGCGGAACGTCCGACAGACGTGATTGCAACAGGAAGGGTTAAGCGCCAGGATCTCCTCCAGGATATCCTACCGTCTAATCCCACACGCGATATCTCAATTGATACGACCGAAAGACATTCCCGCTATGGCCGGTCTTACGTCAAATCGCATCTTCCCACGTCGGCTTCGTTACACCTCGACTGCGTGGCTCCTCTCTTCTATGTCCAATTAGAATTTATCTTTATTTATTATTCGCGTTCAAGATCGTATCGCCCTCGTCGCCACGCTCTTCTCTCGCTCAAGATTTGAAATCGCGCGATCGGCCTTATGCGTCGCGCATTGTTGCGCAATATACATAGATAGAAAAATGTCCATCCGTCGGGCGATTAATTAATAGCCGACCCCTTTCGACGGCTTAATTACGTCCTTAATTGCTGCCGACAGGAGGAGAGTCGCCGCGCCGCGTGTGTTAATGCATCCGAGGTTGCGCGCCGGGCCGCCGCAAATTTTTGCGCTCTTACGCAAGCGTCACCGGTCAGACGGGCCTTTGAGACAACAGTGATGTCATGCTACAGTGGATCGCATTGAAATAATCCCCGTCGCTCGTGCCGCGAATTACGCATTAACGGAAAACTGAGGCGCGCGTGTCCATAAAGGTGTCCCGGCGTTCGCGATCACACCGGCAAGCCGTCAGCAGGATATCCACAGTTTTTAACTGTTAGATCTTACGACCGTTTTCATACACACGAAGATGAAATCTGATCCTTTGAAATCTGATCCTTTGAACCCGTAGCGGTACGGTATACATGAGGAATAGGAGGGTCATGACCGTAGTAGAACATAAGAATAATGGTCAATTTTTTTCCTGAGTAGCTAAAGCCCGGCCCATTATTTGCATAAACTGACAAATTCACAAATGAATTAGTATTTCGCTTTTATCTTTGCTTCATCTTATAGTTACCATATTGATTTATTCAAATAAAATAAAATATATAGTAACAATATATATAGTATATAGTAATATATAGTATATAGTAATATAGTAAAAAATATATAGTAAAATAAAATAAAAGTAATATTGCAATATGAGAGGTAAAAATAACAATATGTTATTAAATGTATTTTTAATAAATTAAAAAATATCTCAGATTTCGTGAGCATATTATGTTACACATATTCCAAAATGAGTACCTCGCTATGACGGGTCCGAAGGGTTATAGATTCACGGCCGGTAGCCCAGGCATCGAAAGCGAAAAGCGACCTTTTTCCATCACGTTCCGACTAACGCGCACCTACTTTAACACCGGCGAAAGAAAAAAAGTAGACCGAAGCGACTTAATTTGCAAGGATGGAGCGTTAATGAAAACGCTCGTTGTCGGTCGTTGCTTGATAAATATGCGAGCATTCGCGAAGTACCTCACGAATGCTTGTATCGTCGTGATTGGCGGATTCCGTTTCAACGCTTTCTTACGCCGTTTCTCCGCTTTATAACTAACAACCGGAGGTTTCGGTCCGTGCGAGTCGCCGAATTTCATCGTGAAAGGCAGCGACGAAGAGTACGGCGGTTGTTGAGTGTCGTCGGCAACAGACGGGGGAGAGGCCGTACCTTGTATACAACGTCATTGTTAACAATATTTGAGTTGAATATTAAAAATAACATTTCTACACTATGATTTTGATGTTTAGGAGATGTTCATATCATCAATCAACAGTCTAAAAATATTGATAAAATATTATGTCAAAATATTTCTGAAATCCACATAAGATCGATGTTTCAAAAGATTGATTTCACGTTTCTTGCTTTTGGGGCTACCTTTTCCGTATACCCAAATCGAGATCCTCTCCGCGTGTACGCGCGTCGTTCTTCGGCATTTATGTTTACGAGCGGACTCAGGACAAACGCGGAAATGGATTACGCGGACGATCGGATCGGTATGCATACTAGCGACGCCGCAGGTGTATATCTATGCACCGGCACTTTCACTCGCGCGAAATTCTAATCCTCCTCCTTCGGCTCCTTTTCCTCATCCTCCGCGGCAACAGCAGCGCGCGAACGGTTCCGTGTGGATGCACAATGCACGAGCGGCGTGGATCGTTTTTGCACCGAAGTAAATCGAGTTCCTCGCCGGCGATGCGACCTTAAAGGTCGCGCTCTCGCGGACAGCTCACACGGCTAAGACGGTGCGAGCGTCCTGCGCGGCCGATTAAATATTTCATAATTAATCAACTCGGTCTCTCTCGCTACTTAACGTTCGCGTGCGTGATTTCATCGGGATTGTTCGTTACAAGTCGCGGAGGCGATGCGAAAGCCGAGGCAATTCCCCGCTTCTTCGTGCACTGAAAACAGGATTTGGTAATAAGTACTAAGATTCGGTGAATATTTGCCGATCGAATGATATGATTATTGCCAAACCAAATCATTTCGTTCCGTGTGCATCGTACACGCGGTACTGCGTAGTTCCGTATATTGTACATTTAGTGTGTGGTTTCACGTCGATTTGGAATTCATCGGACGACTCGTCGGTCAAGTTAAGATTAAGCGTGTCACCTCGTGCCTTACTTAGATCGGATAAATATTAAGGGTACCTGTAAAAGTAATCAAGTCTCCAAATGAAACATATTTGAAAATCTATAGACAAGGCTTTGATTTCTTAATAAGTGATAGAGGAAAATCGCTAAAACTGACGTAATTATGGTAAACACTCATTGACATATCCATGTTTCTCAGCTGTAAAATATTAAATTCTGTCGGACAAAATATGAATTGCGTTTGTTGTGTGTAGTGATAGTCGGAGCTGAAGTGACAGTTTTTGTTCGCAGGAGTGTTTGGTTATATCATTAATGTTGTTTGATTCTTCACTGCATTGAAGTTTTTCGTTCATCTTCTCGTGAAAATGAAAGTAACGAATCAGTGTTAAATCACTTATTTGACAATACTATTTTATATTGTAAGTTTTTAACTTCTTCAAATTACTTGGATATTGTGCCAATCTCCATCCTCTGTCACTGTACTACGCAACTTCTTACTACGCAAGAAAAGTTAGGCTTGGGGTTGTTCTGTAAACGGACATATCTGAATTCGCTGGTCTTTTAACCGGCATACTTGAACCTTACTGTGTAATATGATTTCATAGAGTACAGGTGAACCTACTAGTGATTGATTTGCCCCTTTTTTTGTTTGTTTATTTAAGATGGCCGGAAAAGAGAAGTCAAGGAATCCCTTTCTACATAATAAAGGAACAATATACGTCGTAACATTTTGTAAGTTTTAAAGAAATATGTAAGATTAAAAACGACAAGTAAAGATATATGATAAATGTACAAAATAATGTACGTGGGCAATTTGAAAAGTTCGCGACCTACCGTGTAAAGGCTAGTATCACTTTTCTATTTTTGATCGCATTGTAGCGCCATTTGCCCTATGAAATATCACACGAACACCTATGAAATATCAAGTCGGTTTATCGAGTTGTTAGTTAGAAATAACTGTTTGAACAAAGTCATCTCGGTGCATTGTTGAAAATGGAGAAAATTGAACATCGTGCAGTGATCAAATATTTCGTCGAATAAGGGGAAAAGGAGAGTATTGTAATCAAGTTGGCAAATACTTAAATCTTATTAGATAAAGTGGTACCCAAAATTGAAAAAAATAGGGGACATCCCGGCCGCACTTTTTTGTCTCGCAATGGGACAAAAGCACTGGAGCATTACTGGATTAAATGTATCGAAGCACAGGGAGATTATATTGAAAAATAAAAATGATTCTAGAAAAGAAATATTTTTCATTATCAGGCCGCGAACTTATCAAATTGCTCACGTAATTTCAGTGCTTCTATCTTATTTTTTTATAATTTTCCATAGATATCATGGATATGTCAATTTTTGGGGCTTCGTTTCTAAAAGCGTCAATTTCCAAACTTAAAACATGGGTTATTTGCAAAGAAATAAGTGACAATTTTTCATAAAATTATCATATATTTTCATAAAGAGTTTTTATCTGGTCCCTATTTAGTTGCAAGGGACTGAGTCTTTTCTTCCGTGTACCTAAATCAAGATTCTAATTTTCAATCAACAATATAAGTAAAATACCATACTTAAATAGCGCAACAAGAAAATATTGTTTACACGCCAAACAGTTGAAATAGAAACCAATGAGAAAAAAAATTCTCGTACTTGATTACTTATCGGTACCTCCAAATATTGATAATACGAGGAGACATTTCTCTTGTCTTACGCGACGAAGAACGATTCGCTTGAATCCACAAGAAGGAATGTGAACGAGAGGCGAAGTCGTTGATACGAATTTCAAGTCAACGTCGGCGGAAACGTACAGGTTTAACGAGGTCGACACTGCACGCTTTCCGCTTTTCCGACAGGTACTCGAGAATGCAGTCGACCGAACAACTGCGACCAGAACAACTGGTGGGTCTGGTGGCCCGCTCGGCCGAGGGAACGGCCGCCAAAGGGATGCCGATCAAAGGCCACGAAGACCTCTGGGTGGAGATCCAGGCCAATACCTTCCGCAATTGGGTGAACGAGCATCTGAAGCACGCCGGCGACGTGGGCGGCGGCCCCGTGTTGGACCTCGCCGAGGACTTTAGGGACGGCACGCGGCTTTGCGCCTTGGTCGAGGTGCTCACGCAACGTCGTCTGCCGCGATGGAACCCGAGGCCGGCGAACCAGCACCACCACCTGGAGAACGTGTCCACGGCGCTGCAGGCCATCGAGGCTGACGGTGTGAAGCTTGTCAACATCGGTGAGACACTTTAAGTTTCGTTTCGCATTTTTTATTCGTCCAACAGTCAGAAATAGAATTGGAACGCAGATACCCACTGCACCCAGGGAATATTTTTCAAAGATATAAACATTCACGAGCTGAAAAAATACTATTGTAATCCTGCCTGATTAGGATATAAAAGAGAAAGTGGTATTATGGCTGATGGTATTAAGGCGGTGTATTGTTCGACGGTGTCACGTATGTGCCGTGTAAATTTCTCGAAGTTTCGGGAAATTCATTCATCGGGGTATTAATTAGTGTTAATTGCGGATTAACCTTCTTCAAAATTCATTGAAAATAATGATTAAAATATAAACACTTCATCTTAATCAAATATGACACGGCGGGGAAAATTGAGTCCGCGGCCGTGGCGTTCGAGCGGTTTTGCGCGATCGGCGACGAAGGAAAAATCGACGCGTTTCTTTTAACGTGAGATCGCAACCTGTAGAACTGCGAGGGTATAACGCGAGACGAAGGCCGAGCTACGTCCATGGTCGCGCAAAACCGTCAAGGTGTTGCACGCGCTCAACGTCCAATTACGCTCCGTAATTGGAACGACGAGCGATCGTTACATCCACGAGTACAATGTGTCTCGAAGCATCCAGTTTCCCCCTCCGTAATTCGTATTATAATTCAACCGGGTTTCTATCGTCCACGAACTTCCTGCTCCTCCATCGCGAATTCACTAGTTTTATTCGACGCTCGATATCTCGTCACCACATTCGCAGCGAATACATTTCGAATACGAAATGTAACTTGCATTTTTACATCAACGATAGAACCCTGCGGCATCCAGGCTATGGATTCCAGTTTATCGTATGGAAGAAAAGAATCAGCTTCCACAGCTAGAAACTGGCTTCTGTAGTTAAAAATTAGCTATCCATATAGTAAAAATTGAAATATAGTTACCAGTTACGTTTGTTTGGACACTAGACCTGGTTTTTACCTTGGGAGCTAAAAATTGTGTGACTATATTCATATGCAAAAAGAAGAATTAGCTCGCCCAATTAAAGATTCGGTCTCAATGAAATTTCAGTTTTATTATACGAATAGTTAGCTTAGAAGAAGCAGGCTCGTGTTCATTAACTCTCTCGCCGTGGCGCACCGAAGCGCAGGGAGGGAAGAGGCGCACGCGCGTGAGACGAGTTATTAATAATGATATGCAATCAAAGTACGAGGGAGCCACGACGCATTCTTCGGGTAATGAGCAATCGCTCGAAACGCGCGAGGCTTCGCTGAGATCTGCCGATTCTTGCATCTTTCCTCCTCCCTTTTTTTTCTCTTTTCTTTTTGTCTCCCCTAAGCCGGGCTTTCGCAGCAAACTACCGGCGAACTCGGCGATGCAGCTCGTCCGTGGTGGATAATTTCGGTTCGTTGTCTCGATCGCGCACGTACAAGCAAATCGGCGCGATTTTTCCGCAGATTCTTCCCTCGGCGATGCTTCGCGCTCCTGCAGTCCTCGCGAGAACCGCCTCGTGTCGACGTCCTCTTCGGGCAGGACGATGTACCTTATTCGTACGAACGATCTCCAAAGCGATCTGAATTCATCATAGCGCGGTAAGAAAATCCCTGAAGAAGAAAAACCGAGGGGGAAGCGGATGGAAATTTGGCGACGGCCAAACGATATCTCTATTCCCGCCTCAATATTCGTCTGAACTTGCAGTTGCATCGAGGAGACGCCACACTTGAGAACTTTACTGACAGAATGTCGATTCTTTCTTCTGCAAAGTTTACATCCAATTGGCTGCACGGAATTGTACATACAAATGCTCATCACTGAATTTTCATTCGGTCCCTATTCGCTTTACAGAAACTGGGACTTCCTTTCCTTGTAAAATTGATTTCCCGTTCGACGGCGCAATTGTCGACTCCATTCGTCGTGTTGTTGCGCGGAGGATGGGAGATCGTGCGCGATTAAATCGCGAAAGTGCTTCTCGTTGAAAGGATGATTTTTTTCCTTACTCGGAAGTATCGACGGCGATCCGGGCCATTACCTGCCACACGCCGCGTCAGGGAATGGCTTCTCCTGCGGGCTGACCGCGGTGTAGCAATAATAACGCGCTGCGTTATCCTCTCTTGCCTCTGTGTGAGTCAGCACGCGACGACGGAGACGTAATCGTTTCGAACATGCGGGTCATCGTCGAGCCGGCGTCTTTTAACGACGCCCGAAGGTCTGCGGGTTCGCTTGCGGATCTACCGCGGTGTACCTTCAACATTTCGCGCACGACATCGGCGACGGATACCGTCATCGTGAACGATGCGCTTAGCTCATCGACGGCGTTTTCCTCCCGACGATTCCTTCAGATACTATAAATGATGATGTTAATCTAATGTTAAAGAAAATGCACGAAAGGAAACGAAGCTCCTACGGTCTAAATCAATTTGAAAATCAAGATAAAAACACAGATTGACGTTGCGTTCGGTATCGACCGATTAAGATTTGACAATCAATTGTTTCGGTCCGTATTGTGGAATAAGATTAGATTAAGGAAAGTGTACGGGGAGAATATTATCTTTTCATACCAATTTTCCTTTCAATTTCGTCACGTTTTTTTTTAGCAGCGCGGGAATAGAAATTGTCAGTAGAGATTTTGCCGAGGAGCGGCGGATTTCTCAATAGGAAATTCCAGTTCCTAAATGTGTTAATGGAGCGCGCGAGAAACGCGAGGACAATAAATTAAGGCAGAATGCCGATACGTTTCTCGGTTGCAACATTTTCTAGCGATTTTCATCCGAAGATTCTCACTGCGCAAAACTCAAGGGCAGACATCTCTCGAGCGACGGAGGAAACGATTCTTTCTTTTTCGCGGGTAGAATTAAATAACATTCTGGAGGAAATCGAGGAGAGAGGATGGTGGGTGCATGATCGAGGATCATCGCGATTTACAGCACACCCTGTCTGCGTTTTGACGCGCGCGTTCTACGTCACGCCTTGCAAATCGGAGCTTCGAGGTCGTTGCCTTTCTTGTGTCGCACCGCTGGCGCCTACGAGGCCGCTGAAAGCCGCCGTCGTCGTTGTTATTGTGCACGCGGTTGTTACCGTGCGATTCAATTCACGATGGTGTGCACATGATATCGTAACAGAGAGAGAGAGAGAGAGCAGATAACACACATGCGAAATGACATGCTACGCGCGACGAACGCGAGATCGTTTGTTCTTTAATTTCACCCTAATTAGGCATCGCGCTGGGGACGTCATTCGTTTCGTTCTTCTTGCGCAGTTAAAGATCGCTGGGATAAGACGAATCCTCCGGCTTCGAGACGAGAATCTCCACATGATGGAGATTTCTTGCAATTTCAGATCTGCAGATTTGAACGGGTAAATACCGCGATAGATAGATATGTGGATAGATGTTTTTATTTTCGCCCGTGAACGTTTCCTCTAAAGATGTTGCATTGAAGAAACATAAAGAAGGAGGAACAGAAGTAAAAATATGAATAAATATGCAGATACTGGTACAAGTACAATACAAGTGAAAATAAAATGAAACCACCCAAGTAGCATGGTGATTTCTTAAAGTATCTTGAAGTTTTCTGCTCTCCCGAGTTGTACTTCTTTAGGAATTCACAGAAGAATGCTATAAGAATGATTCGGGAAGTTGTGTGATTGGAATTTCCGAGGACTTCTTTAGTACTCATATAGAATCGTTTCATACATTGAAAAAAAAAAATTATTACGTTCAAGTAAATATTTGCTGAGGAGTATTGCAGTAATTTATTTTATTCGGATTAAATAAATATCAGTTGAATACAACACTTTTTTTCTTTCAGTATGCTACATCAATAATTATATTGTATACATTATTATTCATATACTATATTTGTATATAATAAGTATGTTATATACATTAATAAAACTTAGTTTGAAGACCTGGATAACGGCAGAGATAACGATGGGGATGAAATCGTCGAGTCGTGCGGAATCGTGTGATTATTTTCGTGCGATCATACCGGCATCGGAGTGATCAGAGATCGTAAGGATTGTGCGATTAGAGGCTTGCTGTTCGGAGGATTCAAGTGTCGCTTGGAAATGACAATCTGGGATGGTTTTGTTGGGACTGCGAGCTCGTTGTTTCCGTCGGAGAAACACTCGTCGAAAGTGTCGAAAGCACCTGTGCTTCTCTCGTGATCGACGCGCGCGCTTTCTACAAACAGACGCGCGAGCCGCCCGCGCAGAATCCAACATCCGGCCGACGATTTACACCCGTGGAGAATTCAATATCCTCCGAGACTCCGTTTTCCGGAGTCATCGTAAATCCTTTCCGTGCAATTACGACTGCGGAATGACGCCGCGCAAACGCACATACCGGCGCCTCCCCTCCCTCTTTCTTCTCCTCTTAGCGAATTAAATCATCTCTCCGACGCGCGACCGTTCTTTCCACAAAGAGGCGAGGAAATTCAGGCCGACGATAAATCAAACTGATTTTCGCTTCCTGCTTCTTGTACCGTTCGTTGCACGCTGAACACCCGTGAGCGCGCTGTTCAAGACGATTTCCTCGACTTTTCAGGTAACGTGGACATCGTGAATGGCAACCTGAAGCTGATCCTGGGCTTGATATGGTCGCTCATTGTGCGCTATCAAATAGGCAAATCCAAGTTCCCGCCGAGGAAACTCATGCTCGCATGGCTCAAGGTCAGTACGCGGTATAATTACATTGCGCGCGACCTCGCCGCTCGCATCGCGGCCCGTAAACTGAATCCAGAAACGCTGGCTGTTACTACTTCGCTTGGGCTAATAATCTTCTGCGTGTATGTGTACATTATATTACGTGAGAGCGTGTGCTTCCGTTCGTGAAAGAGCTCGGCGATCTCTCGCGTAAGGACGCGCCATCGATTACGCGCTCGCTGGTATCGACATCGATAACGTCGATACGGTCGAATGACCGACTTGAGAAAATGGTTATGATTTATACGTCTCAAAGTGTGTGCCATTCATACAAGGTCTGTTCGTTATAGTTGTACTTTCTGAACTCACAGAGTACACACAGGTAGAAATGAAAGTGACGGTGACGTCAAATTGAATCAGTTTGATTTAATAAGGCATAAAGTGATATCAACGTCTATTCTATTTCTAAGGAAAGAAGTTGTCTCTTTAGAGGGGATCATTTAAACGGTGGCAGATAAATATGGCGTAAAATAATATAAACGTTCCTATTTCTAAGGAGAAGAGACATCTCTTCTTCAAAGCTTCCGACGGTTGTAAAATAAATCTGCTGAGAATGCAGCCATTAATGTTACGTTAAGATTATTATATTTCCCACGCGGAGAAAACAAGTTTTGCTGGGACAGCAAATTGTTTGTTAATACAATGAGTCACTATTAGTGATGGCAGAGAGATTTATTGTTACTTGGTGTTTGCTGCACGGAAGAAAACTCAGTTTTTGCAATTGAATTGAAGAGACGGAAAGGATTGTGAAAAGTCGGTGACGAGGAACGATGCGATTGGCTAAGTAGAAACCTCCTACAGAAATTGTTTTGTTCCTACAATTAAATTTATATCTGGTTTTCAAGTAACGGGAAATTCAAATGCACCAACGGAATTTTCCGTGCAGTATAATTTGGTACACGGCTGTAAAGAACGGATCTGTAAGCAGGAGTGCTCCTTAATATGCAAGAGCGATTTTGTTTCCAGGCTGTCTTGCCGGAATGCAGAGTCAATAACTTTACGACCGACTGGAACTCCGGTGTGTACCTGAGCGCGCTTTTGGACTACTGTAAGCCCGGCCTGTTCTCTCATTGGCGACAGCTTGATCCGAATGACAGGTAAAAATTCGTACGCGAGATATTTCGAGAGATCGGTAGAACAGAAAATCACGCGAAAATGACATGAAAATGACGAGAAAGTGATCGAATCATAATCGAAAAGTGAGTTATAGTCATTTTCTCATAATTTTTTGACGTCACCGTGATTTTCTTTTCTACCTGAGTGTAGAGGAAAGGAAACAACAATATAACTTGCGAATCCATGGCGAGGTCGTTGGTAGTTAAGAGATTATCTAACATCGACGCTTGAAGGATCTCGCGCGGCAATTAAGTAATCACAGGCGAGGATGTGAATGAGTAACGACGGGTATCTAATTCGAGAGGCTTAGTTCCCAAGATATTCAATAGCAAACTTTTCTTTAGGAATCCCTGTTGAACAAAGAAAACCAAATGGGAATTCATGTAGGAAATCCACATGGAATTCCATGGTCGTACGTTCGGAAACCTTCTAAACGTAGCGAGAGAATTGATCTCCCATGGCGAATTATTCGAAAAAGAATTCCCCCGTTGGTCGCCGGCTGTGAGCCGAACTGCATAAAAAAAGAAGTATTCAAATCATATTGAAACCGAGTTTATAGAAGGACACTCTCATTACCGCGCGTGATGGCGCGATAATTCTTTTTTCTTTTTTCTTCCACGCATTGAGAGCGCTATCGACTAAAGATCGCGATTGCCGTGTTAATTTCGCAGCGTTTACAATTGCCGCAAGGCTATGGAGATATCGAGGCGGGAGTTCGATATTCCCATAGTGCTGGAGCCGGACTACCTCGCCTCACCGTACCTGGACGAGCTCTCGGGGATGACCTACTTGTCGTACTTCATGAAGGAAGGCTCGCCGGGCTTCCACGCAACGCTACGATGGGTCAATTCGCAATTATCACATACCTCGATACGGAACTTTACGGTGGGTGGAGCCGCGTCCTCGGATAACAGTACTCCGCTATGCGATATCTCACGGTGATACTCAATTATTCCGTACTTGCAGACCGACTGGAATGACGGTAGAGCGCTGTGCGGGATCGTCCGAAACTTGGGCGGCCCGGCGCCACCCTACGAGAAACTCGACACTTCCGCGTGGGAACATAATTTGCAAATGGGTAAGGACACGACGCGAGGAACGAGGAGTAAAGAATTAAATATAGGGAATTTACGAACGAGGAATTACATTTTCACACAACCATGGACAACCATGCTTCAGTCCACGATTCAGTTGACGATTCAGAGTGGAGAATTCACTCTGTATGTACGAGTGAAAAATCACTCGAATCCGAGATGCGCCTCTCGTCACTCTATTTTTCGACCGAGACTACACTTTGAGAAATTTAGAGAGGTTACGAAATGAAAAACAGCCGATGAAAATATCGGGAAGCGATCGGGAAGGCATTGCGAAAGATGTTTTTTCACGAGGAAAATTACAATTAAATTCTAATAAGTTCTCTCGATATGCGTGATGTAAAATAAGATCGATCTGATATCATAAGGGTATTCTGAGGAAAGGGCTACGTTTAGAACGGAGGCGATTAGCGAGACCCAATCTGCCGTGAGTCGTTAATCGAACGTGTTCTCTCCCAGGTATCGACGGCGGCAAGAAACTGGGCGTGGAGCCTATTCTGAAAGCGAAAGATATGGCGGACCAGAATGTAGAGCATTTAGGCGTAATGGCATACGCCGCGTACTTTCAGTGGGTGAAGCCTCGCCCTCAGGCGAGCCAGCAGATTGCCGTGCACATCGACAGCACATCCGCCAGGGCGCAACAGCCGGTTGGTTAAGTCATTGTTTGTTAATTACACCTTCGCGCGGCTAATCAGCGCTCACGAATTTTCGCCACGTCGTAGCCGCTCGGTCCCGCCGGTTGGAAACCTCAGCGACTCGCTCAGTCGAACGGTTCGCCTCGTTCGCGAAGCTTTCAACACCGCCGATCGTGTGTGTTACCGCGATGCCACGAGAGATTATGCGCTCCTGTTGCAGGCACACTTCAAGCTAGAGATGCTGACCAAAGATGCGAACGCGAGGGAGGTGCGCGGCGAGATCATCAGCCCCAGTGGACGCGTCGAGTGCAGGCTCACGTGGAACGGAGCTCACGGGAAAGGCACCTTCGTACCTACGGAAGTCGGCATGCACAAGGTTCGTTGTCGAAGACGCGGTCGGGAGAGTCGTGAGAGCGGAAAGAATCCGTCGAGCTCTCGCGTGGAATGGATCTTCCGCGGCAGGATTTCGTTCTGGAATTTCTCAGATCGCACACATACGCTGGATTTGATCTTTATTATTTTATACTCATCATTTTCCCCATCGTTATGTTATTTTTATCATTTTTGCTATTGTTATATTTATCGCTTCATAAAATTAATATAATATCTTCATGAAGTATCTTCATATAATCATAAAATAATTGCTTCATAAATTTCATACATATCGTGCAATATCAAATGTCTACGCTTGTTCTGTTTCGAGAGATAAGTTTGTCTCGATTAAATCAATCTTATTAGATTTAAGGAAACATTTCTTTCTGTGCATGTCAGTGAGATTACTTTTTGATTTGCAGCTGATGGTGTACAACGACGGCGAGTTGGTGAACGGGTGTCCCTATTATTTCAGGGTCTTGCCGCCCTTAACGAAAATCAAATCCCCGGGCATGGATCCTTGCGCCATAGGATCTGTCGTCGAGGTTCTAGTCAATAGTTATGGTACGTGCTGTCACGTTGACGCGCTCCTTCCTGCATAACGAATGCGCTCGAGATGTGAAAATGTCACTTTCAGGAACTAGTCATGATGGTATTGACGTGACCGCGTGGTCGCCGACCGGCAGATCGCTGCCGTGCCCCGTCAAGGAAAACGACGGCGTGCACACGGCAACTTTTCAGCCCGACGAGACGGGGGAATGGAGCATCGCGATAACGCACAAAGGAAATCACATACAAGGCGGCCCCTTCACCTGCTTCGTGTTCGATCCTAACGGAATCAAGGTACTGAGGATCAATATATCACGATTCATTCGTCTTTGGCAATCTATTCCTCACACGATTAGAACCTCCGAAATATTTGTTTCTCGACCTTTTCATTAAACACGAATATAGAAAATATGACAAACTTTGCCGGCAAGCCGATACGTTTTATGGAAGAATTGAGTTTACAAATATCTTTCTCTTCACTCATAGCCAATTTATATCAATTTATATGCATATTTCAATATCTTCCTATAAATTCTTCTATACAGTTATTATCTTTATAATTATTCATAACCAATTATTTTCTAACATTTCCAATTCATTTAGCTTTTGGACACGGATGGCGCCATGCCTGGGCAGCCGTTCTCCTTCATCGTGGACGCGAGAGGGACCGGCGGGCTGGGCGACGTGATAATCGACATAGTGCACGATAAACAGTCGGTATCCTACCGAATGGAGGACTTGGGCCACATGCAGTACCGCGTATCTTTCGTTCCGGAGGACGCTGGCAAGTACAGGGTGTACGTGTACTTCAACGGTTCGGACGTGCGCGGCTCGCCGTTCTCCATCCGAGTGGGCACGCAGAAGGGCTCCAGACGCTCGAAGGAGTCCACATCGAGCCTGGAGCGGTCGAAGGTGTCATCCCTGGAACGACGGATGAACGGGCTGAACGTCTCGGCGACCGAGAGGTCGAGTCCGACCCAGAAGATTTACACGTCCACCGCGTACAAGTCCATCAGCCCGACGCAGCGCGGCTACTCGCCCATCCACCAAGCCAGCCCGACCTACAAGACGGTCTCCAGCGGCAACTACGTCAACGAGAACTCCAGCAGCTCGATATACCACAGCAGTAGTTCCCTCAACCGCACCCGTTCGCCGAACCTCAATCACAGCCCCGTGCCGAGGAACGTGCACAGTCCGTCAGTGGTGAAGGAGACGAAGGAGATCTACAGTGGCAACAGCAACACGTACAGCCAGCACTCGAGGTCGCCGAATAACCTGCAGAGTCCCAGCTTTATCAAGGAGTCCAAGGACATCTATTCGTCCAGCACGCTCAATCGGTCGCGCTCGCCGAACCTCAGCCCGACCACGGCGCTCGGCTCGGCGCGGCATTTGCCTATCATCAAGGAGAGCAGAAACGTCTACAGTTCAGGATCCCTGCAGAGATCGCGCTCGCCCACCCGCAGTCCGATGATGTACCGCACGCAGAGCCCGGTGAACCGCAGCTTCAGCCCGCGCGCCGGCGACAAGGATAACGCCGGCGTTGTGGACACCAGCAGCAACGTGCGGGTGTCGTCGATGGTCGGCGGCACCTCCAGGCGCGACTCCTGGGACGCGATCGCCAAGACGCGCTCGTTGCTGTCGTTCGGCAGCCTCGAGTCCCTGGCGAACCTGACGAACAACTCGCCGACCGCCGACAACGCCGGCAGCTCGCCGGATCACTTCCTCAATAATAATTATAAGAACGCGCAAAGCTACTCCACCGGCAGCACCGTCACCACCAGCACCACCACCGCCGTAGCTGCCAACAGCATCACGAAGAATACGACGTCGCACAGCGCGACGAGCTACTCCAGCTTGCAGAAGTCCTCGAGCCCCGAATACGGCGCCGGGCAGAGGTACGTTAACGACTCGCCTCAGCAGCAAAACACCCGCACGCACGGCATCCTGAAGAACAAGAACAACAACTACCACGGGAACAGCAAGAGCGTGGACACGACGGACGCGGCCGGGTACGAGCACTATCTGAATAATAACGGCGGTGCCGTTTACGTATCGACGCCCGTCGCCGGCGCGTCGTCGGCCGGCAAGAGCTCGCTCGTCGCCACCGGAAGCGCGCTGGAAACCCTGCCGGTGCACCGGCCGACCACTTTCAGCGTCGCCTCCGCCTCCGTGGATCCCAATAAGGTGTCCGTCACCGTCACCGGTAAGTGCCGACGAGCTCGACGATGAGCGTGTCGCGAATGTTTGATCGGTTTCTCGATCATTCGCGCAGGTCCAAGCGGCAAGAACGTGCCGGTGCAAAGGTCGAAACTGCGGGGCCTGACGTACACGATCACCGCCGAGGAAGTCGGCGAGCACGTGATCCAAGTCTTGGTGAACGGCCAGCATATCAAGGGATCCCCCTTCAGGTCCGTATACATGACGTCCGCGAACACGACGCTCTCGCCTTGTTCTGAATTCTAATTAACGCGTTTGTTAATTTTTTTATACGGTAGGTTCTTCCGGCAATCTTTCATCTTTGTTACAAAGGCTTCTTCGAATTCCTTTCCTCTCGATTGTAATCGTGGACTATATAATTGATTGATCCTGGAGTAGTCGCGCGTACTTAAATGCAACACGTGTGGTTGCGTGGAGGACAAATGTTCTTCGTTTTAAATTGACATTTTCAATAAAAAAATCGCTTTAAAAAATAGTAATATTTATTTATACGGAAGTAATAATCGAAAAGATCTTATTTAAGGAGACAAATTACATAAAATAAACTATTTTTACTCTATTTTTCCATTTTTTCTCAATTTAGGAACAAAAGATAAATTAGGAATAAATTACGAAGAGATCAATTTTGTTTTGCAAATGATCTGTTTAAACACTAAAATGCGATATATAAATAATCTATCATTTTCTATATATAATCATTTTCAAAATAAATATTATATATATAATTGCAATTGTAATATAACTGCAATAATAATATTTCAATGTATATATATATAGTGCAAGATTCATTAAATTCTTATCAAATTCATTTTCCCTTACAGCCTTCTTGAGGGAAAATTGTATTTCTATGGAATTAAGTTCGAGGAATTCGAGGAAATCTCTTTTACCTTGTTAATATTCGTATCGTCGACGTAATATCGTCGATATGGTGCCGGAAACAAAGCTAGATGTGTCTACTTATTGCGCCTGTATTAACTATTTCGACACGGATTTCAGGTCGCAGGCATATAATGCCCGAGCTATTCAGGTTGGAAGCATCCCGAACGGAGTGGTGAACCAGCCGGTGGAATTCGAAAGTACGTATCTGATCCTGCGCGTTGCAAAATCGTGTAAGTGCATCGGGTAATGAACACCATTTTGTTCATCAGTCGACGGATCGAGAGCCGGCTCCGGAAACTTGGAAATCCTCGTGAACGGGGGACACGTTACCAGTTTCGTGAGAGCGCTAGGCAGTCAGCGTTTCTTGGCATCATTCGTGCCACATGAAGCGGTCACGCATTTAGTGGAAATGACGTTCAACAGCGAAGTCATTCCTGGTGAGTCACTTTCTAATCAGTATTCATAACCCGAAGTTTTCTAACGAGGCTCGCAAATGTTTCTCTGAATAATATTCGAACATCGTATTCAATTATGAATTGTCCGACAATTCCATTCTGTCGCGAAGAAATCGAATATCTGGCGATTTTTCACACGTTGAATTTTCCATTAAAATCCCAAATGTGATTTAGGAGAAATTTAAAGTAGAAATTAAAAATAGGGCATGTTGACTTCAAAGAATACGTATAAAAAGTGCCATCTTTAGTCGCTTCAGTATCTCAGCTTCCGAATGGTCAATAGTTCTCTAACTTTACAGACATGTAGATAGTATTTTTATCAACGTGTAGGCGAAAATTGAAAAGGATTCCTAAGAAAATGATTCGACCGTTTGATTACTTTAACGCGTTGCGTTAAAGATTTGCGAATGCGAGAACTTTAAGAGACGGATTTCGGGGAAATCGACGGCTTTTTGATAATTTAGATACAAATAGGTTTCTGGATTTCACGTTCTTGCGAAATAAGCTTGCTCCGACGGTTCGAGAACACCGTTAGACACCGATCGTTCATTTCGTTACTTCGCTCTCTCTACGTTATCTCTCTCCCGTATCCGACCGTATTCGCGGCCGCCGCTACTTTAGCTGTAAAGATCTTCATTTGTACGGCGCTTTTAGCGTGCCTTTCTTTTGTCAAATACCGATGCGCAGCCGCGACATCAGGGCGGCTCTCCGCCGTAGAATAAATTCCTGTCGCGTACGCGCACGCGACGCACGCGAGCCACGTGTGCACGTGCACACGCACACGTGGACGCGCGCGCACGATCCCTCGGAATGCGCGATAGCTTTGCCGTCACCATTAAGGAAGCTGGAATGTATACTCGGCGTTGAATACTTTTCTTTCTCTCTCTCTCTCTCTGTGCTTCTCTGAAGCGCGTCGTTTATGCGACGATTTTGATGATCTTGAAGCAGTCGATACGCGCCGATATCAAGTCTGGTCGTGTCGATAGAAAATCGGTACTTGATTGAAGTGAATCGGGATTTCGCGATCGGTCCGATTCCGCGCGATTTTGCTTGTAAATATTCCCCCTGGCGAATGCGATTCATCGATCTCGTGTTCGTGGTCTTGCAATGTGATATTAACTCCGCATTGCGCTATCGAAGCGAAAAAAATCGCAAGACTAGCGCGGACTTGTGGCCTTTCCACACTCAACGCATTTCGTTAAGTATTTTTACCTTATTGCGTTATCTCAAAGTTCTATAATCAATACGTTGAAAAACATTGGAAAACGCTAAAAATCGCAGAAAAAATCCGACATTACAATCATTTCTCTAAGAGCATGTGTGTGTATTGCGTATGCGTTTATCGATATGTATAACATATTCATAAACGTAACACGGACAGTCCTAGCCAAAAGTATAATAATACGTCAAAGCGCGAAAATTATTTTTTCATGAGTTCTTAAACATTATGTAAGTTTGATCGATATTCTCTTGCTATATAATATAGCTGTATATTATAAATTATATTTTACAAACACTTAGCACACAGATTTATCGAGATATTTCTCCATGTTAACCATTATCTTTCCAATAATACTTTCCAATAATACTATCACGGACAAATCACCTTAAATTTGCGAAGGAGGGACGAAGAGAAGAATACGTTTGCCACTGTATTGTAGTTCGTATCGAACTTCAATACCAACTAGCTTCTGTCTCCGAATCCGACATATACGTTCGCTAAATGGCGCGAATCCACCTTGAGTCCCGTCATGCTTCGCCACATCAACTGTACAAGTAATAATATCTCGTCTCTCACGCGCGAGAGTGCAATTCACAATGTAGACGGTATACTCGTGCCGCGATCTTATCGCGGAGATCATTCATTCCTTTACAATACGTGGCCAGTTGTTTCTCCCGTGACCTTTAGCACCGTCGGTGACGTGCCAAGCTCGATTCCGCGTCTCGATTTCCGACGGCTATCAGGCGAGAACGCGAGGAATCGGGAGAAAGGTGTCGCAAGAACGGCTTCCGGCGCAGGGGGCGAGCACCGATGGTCGCCCCCTCGCATCTGCTTCACGCTTCGTGGTAACTTTTAACACTTTGCGGTCCACGGCCCACCCGAAGACGCTTGACTGTATTCGAACTTCTCGAAGGCATAATACGCAAGTAGCCGCGCTTATTTGATCGATTATCTTCTAAATGTTGATATCTAAAAAACTATTGAACCTAGCGTATTCAAACAACTTTTATCGTGAAGTTCATTCTTTTCTTCATTCAAACATAGATATAATCGACTTTTTAAATTATATCAAGAGGATTAATAAAAAAATACAGTGAAAGCTCCTTATTCACGGTTTCCTTATTCGCGTTTTCACTATTCGCGGGTTAAAAAAATTGCGACACAGTTCCTGTATTCGCGGCTAAAAATTTCTTTATTCGCGGATCCAATCGGTATATAATCGGTATCCAAATGTAAAAGTGATATTTTTGCCACCTAATACGACGGCTTTACTTCAACCCATGGATCAAGGAATAATCCAGGCCTTTAAGCTTTATTATATTAAGCGAACCTTCAAAATCATACTGGACGCCATGGAAGTTGATCCTGATATGAACGTTATGCAATGCTGGAAAAAATTTGACATAGCGAAATGCATTGTTAACATAAAAGAATCGTTGGGAGAACTGAAGCCAGAGACATTGAAATCATACTGGAAAAAACTGTGGCCTGTTCTGACTGTCGAAAATGATGAAGAATCCGTGCAAATTCAAACTTTAACTGCAAACATGGCTGAAGTTGCGAATGGAATAGGACGAGATGGCTTTGAACAGATAGAATCAAATGACATTCAAGAGTTGCTTGAATCGCAAGATGAAGATTTGACAGAAACCGACTTAGAGGAAATGTTAACTCCGCATCCCATTGAAGAAGAGGTTTCAACGAGTTCTGAAAAGGTGGTCTTTAACTTGAAAAATCTGAGTGAAGGCTTACGGATGGCAAATGAGCTTTGTGATTTTTTAATGAAAATTGATCCGTCAATCGAGGGAAGTCCCATTTTTAAAAGGCAAATTATGAATGCCACAGCTGAATATCAATCTGAATTGAGAAACCGTTTAAAAGCGGCAAAACAAGACAAAATTACTAAGTTCTTTAAACCCTTGCCTAAGCCTGACAATAATTAGTAATAGATATTGTTAAAAATCACTTATTAAATTTATTTTATTCTGATATTTTTTTTATATTTTGGAACCATGGAACGTATCCCCTATAATCCTATACAAATTACCATTCCATATCCACGGTTTCTGTATTCGCGGCAAATTTATGGAACATATCCCCCGCGAATAAGGAACTTTTACTGTACATACTTCTCCTCTCGTTTACACGTGCTTGCAAACATTATTTTTGATCCGCGGATATAAATTAATATTCTCATCGTCTGATGATTCTGATGATATTATATAACTGTTATATAACTGTTACATAACTGTTATACCTATTAAAATTCCAGAAATATTACTTAATATTAAATAATATTACTAAAATATCACTATAGAATATTTATTACATTATTATATTTATATTACATTTAATATTGTAAAAATACACTCAGAATATTATTTAATATTAAGTAATATCACGCGCTTATAAGATATCAGTAACATCTGAAGTATAACAAATATAACAGTTGTTATATAACTGTTACATAACTGTTTTCCATTTTTCCACTAATCCTTCCTTTCTTGACTAATGTTTTATTCAAACTATTATAATTATATTATAGCTAAATATTCGAGATAATTAGAGAGGAAATTAGAAAATAAATTGTCTCAATAATTTCTTCTGGAGGAAATTGCTCGACGACAATATAATAAAGGCATTTCTCTCTCTTTCTCTTTACGAACTTCAACTGCGTCTCCGCGAATCGAAGGATTCGGAAATCGTTTCTGTCTGTGCCCGGTCAACTTTGCTCACAACAAGATTCTCATGATGAAACGCGCCGATCCTTCTCCTCGGAGAGTCTCGCGAAATTCTTTGCGGTCGCGGCACGATTAGCCGTGCCTCTCGCAATTCCTCGCCGCTTTTCATACTTTGCATACTTTTCCGTCGGACAAAGAGACTCGTCCCGGGCCGGCTGTTATACAGGGTGATCGAGTTCATCTGCGTCCTACAGACACGCGAGCAAGCGTGTCTCTAAGCCAGCGGGTCATCGGGTAGGTCGTTGACTTACGATTTCACGTATTCACGTGACGTCCCACTGACCCATATGCGACGTCATCGTTCTCTTCGGCTACCTGAGCTAATTTTTCCCGCTGTACCACCTTGCCACACGTCACGCGTCACAATACACGAGGCCGTGTATGCCATGAACCACCAGCGTCGAATGACGGATCTACGTCGTCTCTTGTTTAGGCAAACCGTTGCTACACACACACATATACATGCATACACGCGTACCTTGACGATCGGGAGTCGGAGACGTGTCTCGACCCCGTAAGAATGCGATTACCTGCGCTCCTCAAAAGTGCCGGCGCGAGAGAGCGGTCGAACGTGTCGGATGCCTTGCGGAAACCCGCATAATTGGCGAGAAATATCTCGCGTGCAATATCGACTCAAGATTTCCGGCTTCTACGAGGAATCAGCTCGACTCTCCGAGCAACTCTGGGAGAATTTCAATTCGTGAAAGCATCCCTCAAAACCATTCTGCAATAGCGTAAAGTATTATCGCATACTTTATATTATTATAGAACGATTTTTACATGGGAGCGTTAAAGCATCGTGAGCATACGTAGTGATGTGTACCGGTTTGACGCTGGATCAGTCAGCTGATTGCGCTCAGCCTATATAGCACAGACCTCCAAGAAACGTCCTGAAGATGTCCAGAGGAATGTCCATTGAATAAAGTGCTGTATGAAAGAAGTTGCAAATGTCAATTAATTATTAATAATTCATGGAATGTACCACTATTATTTATTAAAAATTTGTTTGATAAAGAAGAGTTGAATTGACTACACTTATCGCAATGATTACAGTGTAACGTTTGATGCTTATGAAAGACGATGTTACCAAATAATTCTAACGTAGAAGAGTTATATAAAAATAGAATTATATATTTTATAAGAGAACATGCAAAAGAATTTTAGAAATTGATCACTTAATACTTAGTTAGACTTAATTGTAGCGACGTTCAATAATATATATCTATTGTATAATATAAATAAGTGTCCATTTTCAATATTAGTAATATATATCTGAATATAATTTTTTATCTCTACTGAACTCACTGTGTTATTCGCTGTGTTATTAGCCGCAAGAAGCTGTAATTTATCTCGTTTAGAATCTTGCGCCACGATTTTCTGCGCAAACCTTCGACATTTATCATGTGATGGCATCTTAACATTTCTTTTAGCAAATATATCAAATTCCGAAGCCAAATTCCAAAGCTGACCCGTTTGTAAAAAGTCGAGGAGACTAGGGAAAGAACAAGCGATCTAAAAGCGAAATCGTTTAAGACTATGAGGAAAGAAAGAGAGAGAGAGAGAGATCCTAGCCCGAGGATGTAACCCCGCCACGCCACTGTGCATGTGCACGAATAATATTATTTAGATGCCGCATACAATACAGCCCGCAACCGTGACTACGTACTCGCGCAGGAAAGTAGTAATGTGCGCGGTAACCACGTTATTATCCTCTTCCTCTTGCGCTATCTCCTCGCGTAAAGACGCGGATTCCTCCGCCGCACATTTCTCAACAGGGTTTTTTTTCATTTCAAGCGCACGTTTTGCATCAGTGCGAATCCTTTCCAATTCTAGTTAATTTTGTGGCGTTGAACACAAATATAACAAAGATTTTAGTATATAATTTTAATATAAATTTCCAGTATAAAATTAATTTAATATAAAATTTTAATATAAAATTAAAAATATAACTTAGCTCTAATTGTATTCATATAGTAAACAAAGATCAAAAGATAATTTGATATTTAAAGTTTTCGTGATGTGGAGAAAAGAGAATGTCTTAAAAATTATCTCTTAAAGCTAACTTTACATTTTGAGATTGGCAGTTCTATAAGATTTTATGAATGAGACATATGTTTTAATTTCTTATAGAAAGATAGGAACTATTTTTATTCTTTCATTGTAATATTCTTTATTTCGAGACCGTTAAAAGACGCCTAATAATGCAAAAATTTCTTAACTGGTATTATTTTTACCTTGAATATTTTACAAAAATAAAAATATTTTTTCAACGGCTAAGTGATGATGTAAAAAATTTACATTTACATACAGTGATAGAAGCGATGAACATTGATATGTTACTGGAATTTCTGTTGGATAAATTTTCCTTATACTTCGAAGATATACAAGGTGATTATAGTTGTTGCGTCACTATGTGCAGTCGTTTTTTAATTTTTTTTCGTTACATCGTGCTGTCAGAAATTATATTGTATTTGTAGATGAAAATCGCTCCACAAAATATCGAGGATTATTACGCAATTAAGCAGTTTCAGTGTATTCCCTCGATCGATATTTCTCCCGCGTACGTTCATGGAAATTGTGTATAGAATATGAACAGGTAACGAATACCGTGTGCGATCTGTAGGTGTGGCCGATACTGGCGTGCAGACGTATTTGGTTACGAATGAGGATACGCTACCTACGTGGACACGACATAATTCAGCACGTGGTCGTACCTTATAACAACGTCTCGCTAATTCCTATATTAATCCCTTGCTATCCGAATCCGTCACCACGAAGGTTAATGTTCTTTTTGGCACTTTGACTCGACAGTTCTTCTCGTACAGTTACGAAAGAAGAATAATGTCCGGAGGTTAGATTTCAATATTAGGATAATCGATTCTATCAGTGCGTTTGAAATAACGGTTTCTAAGAAAGTGTACAATGCGAAGGAAAACGTTTACTTATTTTCTTTCAGTTTTATTCGAAGTCAATTGAAAATATAAAACGCACAGCTATAAATTCGAATAATTTTCATAAGAAATTACAGATTAATTACTCGGACTGCTTTGGTAGTTTTAACGTTAAAACACCGATAATATGTAAGAGCGGAAGAAGTAATTTCACATATATGGAAATTCAGTTCGTGTAACGGTTTTTCTTTTGGCTGGGGACCAGATAAAAATTTGCTTGTAAGAACAGAAAGATCCCTGCGTATAAGAGATTTCTTTTTAGTCAATTATTATATTTTCAATTATCTGAGCTGAGTTTTAGTGCTGCACAAAGTTCATGCGAACGTTCTCAGTCGTGATAAGAGAGATATCATTTCTCGTCACTGAGCCTCCATTTCCGAGTTCTCATCTGATTCCTATTGAATTACACTAGCGGGGTTGATTTTTTCGTGATATATTTCTTTCGGTACAGAGTAAAAACACGAGCGACAAATTCTCGGTGGATGAAATTTGGAGAAAACGATCGACCGATGCGAAAGCACGTTCGCGCAACGAGGCGAAATTATTCATCGGGAAAGCCGTCCTGCGGTTGTTACACACGCTGGTTGCGTTACGTCTGCGCACTCCTCGGTCTTTTATTCGGTTCTGCTTCCTTTCGCGTAATCATACAGCGGAGTGAACACGCGTGGCACCGTTATCATCGATCGAGGAAGATATGTACACGGCTGTTTTCCCGTGCGACATCCCCCAGGAGCGGACTTGCTGACCGGCGACACGTGGAACACGTTTTTGTGCGCGTTTCTTACGCACGCGCGCCGAGGAAGTTATTGCCCATCCCCGCACATAACTCATACCCGGCGCTACTTTTTCCGGAACCTTCGCCACATGCACGATTATTATACTCGTCGGACATCGCAGGGTCGTCGTACGAATCGCGAGTAGAAGTTACGATCGTCACCGAATCGGACGTCGCGAATTGTTCGAGTAAAATCAAACCGGACATTCGAACCAAGTGACATCGTGAAATCGTCCGCGGGAAAAGATTTTCTCCAACGATTTGTACACGGAGGAAAAAAATACCCAGTGAGAAATGAACATCGACGTCAAATCGACATCGACATTCTAAAAGAACCGGGATGACTGAATCCAAATTGCTTGAATGATGTCGAGGATATGACGGTAGACAAAATTCAAATACTTTCCTGAAAAAGTTGGTTTATGATACCAGTTGAGTCCTAGAAGATCATTTCCAACACTTAAAATTACATCTAAAAGATTGTTTCTGCCAATTTCTATGGTAAATTTAAATCTATAGTGATGTGAATTATATTTTACACATAAACGCTCAAACCTTGCACAGAGAAAAAGTGCCATATTCAAATAAATATTTGCTAAAGAGTATTAGAGTAAATTACTTCAATACCTCTTAGCAAATTGATATTTGAAATAGCACGTTACTTTTCTTTCAGCGTATTTTCAATGATATTGCTATCGAATCAAGATCAATTATAGCGCTGTTGACCGATTCCATCGATACAACAGCATTTCTTCCGTGCCTGGGCAATTTTGAAGCAGCGACAATTTGAGCGTAACACGCGCAAGTTGTTACTGCGGTGTTTATCTGGAATGGGCAGTTTCGCGGTCGAGACCTGGTGACTTTCAGTTTTTAAAGACGTCTCGAGCGTTACGAAAGAGAGATGCACACGCGACGACTGCGGATTCTTTCGGGTCATCCGACACACGGTTTAAATTGCCCGACTGATACGGCTTGCGTAACTGCCGCGAGTAGCGCTGTAATTTTTCTTTTTACGCAAGTTTTATTGCGCGATAAGCGCTACCGTAAGTGCATCGGCGCTCGAGTGCGCAGAAACCGTAGGAAGGCGCGTTCAATCAGAGCAATCGCGATCGTTGTGCATTCAAGCGAGATTTCTATTTGATCATGACACTACCGAGAGAGGCTACGCGATAGTCGATAAGAGAGAATCGCCCGCTTGCGATTATCGAAACGATTAATATTAATTATATATCTCTCTCCATATGGAATCATGCTCATCAATCACCGCCACGATGTGCGCACGAGGTACACCTGGCACTGTTATTTTTTGCGACTTTTTGTTAAAGTTTACCCTGAAGAAGATAATTCAACCGTCATTAGCTTTTTCTCGTAATACTTTCGTAAATAACACCAATTTTCTCATCCCCCCCCCCTCTTCCGACTGAATCGAAATTTTGGCCTCGTGTTAAACCTTTAATTCTACATAGTAGGAGCTAACAGAACAGGTTGGATATATATTTCACAATTTTAATAATATAATTTATTCCTATTTTGATCCTGATGATGTCATGAACTTCTGTTTTCGCGATTTTAACGTCAAAATGGGTTGTTCAAAATAGCCGTTAACCCGTAAGCAGACGTGTGAGGGTCAAACTGACTCACAAACGCATAAACAAATGAATATTCCGTTTCGTCTTCAAGATATTCCACTGTTTTCACTAAATGGGACACTCTGTATAGAATGTCCTCATGTAAAGCGCAAGCTTTATATTCATACAAAATTATACATTCTTGCTAACATGTGAGAATATGAGTGTCGAATCGATATTAATTTTTTTTTCCACGTACAATAGAAAACAGATCGAAGTGCGTGTTACGCGAGACGAATGTGCAGCGCGTTGATAAGTAATTCCCGCGTGGAAAAGGCGGCAAAACCGAAGAGTACGATGAATAAACGTTAACAAACTGTAAATCCAATCGTGACACGACGGTTGCTCGATTCTCGACTCGGTGGGGGCTGTCGGAGGCGAAGCGGAGATAAGCCGCGCTCGGGCGGCGCGCAATTTTTCAACCGCTGCACGCTCCATAGACTTTCGTGTTAACTCGAGCACTTCTATAATGAGCCGCAACTTTAGCATATAATCTCGCTTGTAATTAACCGACCGATGCCCGAGAGTGCGCGCGCGCCCGCGAATGCAGCATTTAACTCGCTCGAGCTCGACCGCGAAGTGAAATTACCTTGAGACGCGTTTTTTCCTTCGCCCTTCCCCGGCCGCGCTCTTCCGAGATGCGTTTTGCCTCGCCCAAGGATCCCGGCGATCAAGGAGCCAGAAAAAGATCCGTGGATACGGTTACTCCGGCGCGGATATTGATCCGAAGCTGACCCGAATAAATCCGAGTCTTGACGCGCGAGATCCATCGGAGATCCGCGTGTACTTCGACGTCTGTGCATTCGCATGTGTGTGTATATATGGTTTGTGTGAATGTGTGCGTAACATAACTTCATCCACGACATATAACTTCGTCCTGGTGAAACTCGTCGGGTCGGTGTGTGAAACCTGCCGTGCGAGACGCCGCTGTCCGACGAAGTTTCACGGGCGGACATGAAAAATCCAAGAAAAGGCGCTACACTGAGATTTCCACGGTCGGCCACGTCCGTCGGTGATTTCAACGATCGACAGCTGCATGGACGCGTGCGTAACCGTACACTCGCGGTGTCAGCGCTTCATCGGCGCGTCGTCGTTTTTAATAACAATAACGGTCGGTCGGTCGGTCGATCTATCGATCGCATAGTGTGGAGTTAGTCCCTGAAATTGATTGAATTTTATTGCCTCATGAGCGTGTTAGAAACGCATAGGTCGTGCCGACGGAATATTCCAATTGTATCCCGTTTCTTCCTCCTCTAAAGAGAGAACAGAATTTCTTATTTAGAATTATTTAGTATTTTGGAATTCCTTATTTACTATAATAAAAAGTTATAGAGTACACTTAATGAAAAGAGTTTTGTGTCTGAAATTATATGTTACTTTAACATGTGGAATGTGTTAAAAGATACACAAATATAATGTTAAATTCACACATTCACTTTGTCAATTATATGTTACATATTTGTGTACTTTTTAACACCCC